GGCTTTTCTGGCTTCCTTCAACCTCAGCTAACATCTCAATCTTCTTCAAGAAGCATTAATAATAATGCTGAATTAATAATTCCCTCTGAGATTGCCCCCTATTTGCCTTGTCTATATCTTATATGTACAAAGTTGTTTGAAGGTTGTCTGCTCCATTAAAACATAAGCCCCTTCTTTATATCCCAGCATTTGAGTACAGCACCTGGTATGTAAGAAGTGCTTAATAAAAGCTTACTGGTTTATAGACTTGACGAGCATGGTTGTTTGAGGTCTAAATGAGTCCTTTGGGTTACACTTGGATGCCAGCCTTGCGGGCTGAGGGATAGGAAGATGAAAGCCAACAGAAACATTTTACATTTGAGGGCAGGAGTGCCCATAGACAGAAAGATGTAGTCGCCTACCTACTGGTTGGAGTTCTGAGTATGGAGCCCGATTTCTGATAAGATGAACATCAACCCGTATTTTGACAAAGGAATGCCTCTATCCTCACATCTCTAGTACATGATACAGTGGATAGAGGACCAGACTTAGAACTCAGGAACATCTGGGCTCTAGTCCTTCCTTTGACACATACTAGCTAGGGGTCCCCAAGGCAACTCTCTAAAGTACTAAGATGGAAGACTTGCCGATATGCACTGGTAGATGGAATTTCCAGACTGAACTTTCCTCACACGAACAATATCATAGATGTGGACCAAAAAAAAAAAACCAACCAAAAACACAAAACAACATAAAGGGTAAATGTATTCTTAACTAAAAAGAGGATAGAGGCAACTGAAAATATAACTTTGATTACATGAAGCTGAAAAGCTTCTGCACAAACAAAATTAATACACTTAGGATAAGAAGGGAAGAGGTAGAATAGATAAAAATAACCTTTCAAAAAATAAAATTTCTCTTACAAAGGTCTGGTATCCAAGATACATTAAAGAAAATCAGATAGGAATATACAGCTGTGGATAAATATAGATGATAGATAGATAGACAGACAGATAGATATGACCAAAATCTATTCCCTAATAGATAAATGGTCAGAGGATGTGAATAAAGTTCTCAAAAGAACTGCAAATTATTTTTTTGTTTGTTTTTTTAGTTTATTTTTAGTTTTCAGCATTCACTTCCATAAGATTTTGAGTTTAAATTTTTCTCCCCCTCCCTCCCAAGATGGCATGCAATGTGATATAGGCTCTACCTATACATTCCTATTAAACATATTTTCACATTAGTCATGTTGTAAAGAAGAATTAGAACCAATAGGAGGAACCACAAGAAAGAAGAAACAAAGCAGAAAAGAAAAAAGAGAGTAAATAGTCTGCTTCGATCTGCATTCAAACTCCATAGATCTTTCTCTGGATGTGGACAGCATTTTCCATCGTCAGTCTTTTGGAGATGTCTTAGATCCTTGCGTTGCTGAGAAGGACTAAGTCTATCAAAGTTAGTCATCGCACAACGTGGCTGTTACTGTGTACAGCGTTCTCCTGGTTCTGCTCACTTCACTCAGCATCAGACCATTCAAGTCTTTCCAGGTTTTTCTGAAATCTTCCTGTTCATCATTCCTTATAGCAGAATAGTATTCCATCACATTCATAGACCACAACTTGTTCAGCCATTCCCCAATTAATGGGCATCCCCTCAATTTCCAATTCTTTGCACTACAGAAAGAGCTGCTATGAATATTTTTGTACACGTGGGTCCTTTTCTCATTTTTATGATCTCGTTGAGACACAGCCCTAGAAGTGATGTTGCTGGGTCGAAGGGTATGCACATTTTTATAGCCCTTTGGGCACAAGAGCTTCAAATTATTAACAACCACATGAAAGAATGCTCCAAGTCAGTAATTACAATAGAAATAAAAATAGCCCTGAGGTTTCACTGCACACACTGCAAATTGGCAAAGGTGACCAAAGATAAGACTAGACAACGTGATAGGACTTGCGGCATGATAGGTGCACTAAGGCATTATCGGTGGTCCAGTGAGTTCAGACAATCATTTAGGGAAGCAATGTGGAATCATGCCAATAAAGGGACCAAAAATGTCCTTACCCTTTGACCTAGAGGTTCCATTACTAGGCCTGTGCCCGAAAGTGGCCATTAATAAAAAGAAAGTCCCCACATGTACCAAAATATTCATTGCAACACCTTTTGTGATAGCAAAGAATTAGAAGCAACATAGATGTCCACTGATTGAGGATTGGCTAGACAAATTGTGGTCCATGAATGCAATGGAGTATGACTGTGCTGTAAGAAATGATGTATGTGATGAATACAGAGAGGCATGGAAAAATCTCCATGAACTGATGCAGAAGGAAGGAATCAGAGCCAAGAAAACACACACAATGACTATAATAATGTAATATAATTAAACAACCACACCCACATAAAATCCACAGTGAATGAATGTTGCAGACTTATAAAGAATAAGCGTGCTTGAAAGAAGGAATATGAGAAGACATTCCCACTCCTACCCCTTTCCAGAGGTAGGGAGGTCCACATGTGTTATACATTGCATATAATTTTTGTATTTTCAGACTTTTTTGCTACACTGATCACTTAAACTGATTTTTCTTGTCTTAAAAAATACTATTTGTTTTATGGGATGGCTCTCTAGGGCCTGGGGGGATATTTGGGGAAAATTATGGGGATGTTAAAAAAAAAAAAAAGACACCAATATAAACTTAGTTTTAGAAAAGAAGCCCAAACAATCACAGTACCAAGCCTGATGTGAGGTTCTTCACACCCTGCCCCAAGAGTTGTAGTATTTTCTTCTCTGCTTAAAAAGAAAATGGCCAGCCCATTTTGAGCATTTATTGATAGCATTGCCACTCTACTTACCCAACAGACTGAAAGACAATATTCTATTGATCAGGATTTTGGGCAATAGCAGCTGTGTTATTTCATAAATGTGCCACACTGGCATATGTCAAAGTGATACCTCAGATACGGACATTTGTATTCTAAGGGGAGGATAGAATCTTCATTAGCATTGATTTTTTTTTTATCAGATGCAATATTTAAAATTTTTGAAGCTTTCTAGTTGAAGTTTGTATTTAGAGTAGTGCAGGAAAATTTTTAAATGTGAAATTACATACTGCATTTTGTCTGAAATAATTTTTAAATGCTTTTGAAACATTTGTGAGGGGAAACACGTCCAGAGCACCAGGAAGAGGGTCCAGAGAGAAATAAAGGAGGGAACATTGCCAGCATGAGGGCTTTTCCTTAAAAATGGAGCTTCCGGGAGGAAATGACCCATTGGTCAGTCACCAAGAATTGAGTACCCACACAGGAGCATAGAGATCTCCCAGAGGGAGAAGGCTACAGGGATGATAGAACATATATAGTGGTGAAGGCATCTGCCAGGGTTAAGTTCATACCAGACTGAATAACGATCAAGAAATCCAATAAGACAGTACTTCTTAGCCAACAGTTGCACAAAAGGTCAGCCAGAAGAAGCCTACAGACAATAGGAAAGGGAGTTACCATGAAAGCCAGTGAGACACAAGATATCCCAGAGTAACTACGGATGGGCCAAAGGTTTACTGAAATCCTCCTGTCCAAGGCCAGCAAGACCGGACGCTCTCCTGAGCAAACTCCAAAGTAGGGATCTTGAACGCTCACTGGGTAGTGGCCAGCACACAGACCCTAACGCTCTGTCCTGAGACACCAGAGAGGGACAGGTCTAACCAGCTAGGTCTAACCCTAAGAGACGGGAGGAGCCCAGGTGACCCAGACCATGCAGGGCGAACCACTCCACCCAAAAGTACAACATGGCACCCAACACAAAGCCCCAATTCAGTAACTTACGCTGAAGAGACAAGTGAATCAGAGAAAACACCAAACAGTATCAAAGCCTGTTGTACTACTAGAGATCCCCCCAAAGAAGGAGAAAATAACTCAGTTAACAGCTGCAACCAAACACTGAAAGGAAAACTGGATCTTCCCCAGCAACTACGAGAATACCTAGAAGTAAAGCAAGAGATTAAAAAATAGAAGTTTCTTATGGAAAAAAGCTAGGAGAATAAATAACTTAGAAGAAAATATGATAAACCTCATCTAAGTAAAAAACTCTCCTCAAAACTAAAAAAAGGCCAAACAGAAATCAGGGATATATGAAACAATAAGAAATATTGGGACAAAACCAATACGTGGAAAAAGGGAAGAAAATGTAAGATATCTGATGAAAAAAAAAAAAAAAAAAACTGACAAAGAAAAGGAGGGGAGATAATTAAAAAATCACTGGGCTCCTTAAAAATGGTGATTCAAGGGGCAGCTTGGTGGCACAAGGGATAGAGCGCCAGCCCTGCTTTCAGGAGGACCTGAGTTCAAATCTGGCCTCAGACATATAACACTTACTAGCTGTGTGACCCTGGGCAAGTCACTTAACCCCACTGCCTAGACAAAAACCAAAAAGACCCCAAACAAATAAAACGTGCAGAAGAGAAGTTCTGAATGAAACACAGACAAGCAAGACAATTTTAAAAGTAACATAGAATTTATTATGTACTTTGTTTAAGCAAGCAATATGAGTCATGATTTCATATAGAATTCTTTTGTGTTCTGTTGTATGTATGGAAATACTCTTTTGGGGGGTTTAAGTTCAAAATAAAAAATGATTTTTTTAAAAAGTACTGCCAATCCAGGGAAGAGATAAGAAAAGATACTTCTCTCTCTTCTTAGCAGAGATGGGGGGCTATGGGTGGGAAATGTGGCATATACTGCCAGCCTTAGCTGATATGTTGGTTTAACTGAATTTTCCCCCCTTTGACTTTTTTTTAATCCTTTGTTACAAGGTATGGCTCACTGGATAGGGGAACAGGTAGGGATATATTAAAAAATGAGGGTGACGTAAAAACAAAAGTTATCAATTACAATTCTTAAAAAAAAAAAAGTATGGCTAGGCATTTTTGGAGCCTCTTCTGAAGAATGTGCCCATAGGAGCAATACGTTTTTGCAGCTTCAGCAGCATCCTTCATGCCCAGAATGAGCGTGAACTGGAGGGAAGCCCAGGTGCAAGATGAAACTCTATAAGAAATGACAGAAGGGAGGGTGTTGTAAGCCTTGTGGAACCAAGCTTCCCCCCCCCCAGGACACTTTACAATTGAGGGCGTGACTAGGGTGAGAGCTGATGCCCCACAGAGGACTGCATTCAATCCTACGGGAGGCCTGAGAAGGCACTCAGAGCTTCCCCAAGGCTTCCACAATGATTTTGGTCCCTGGAGAGAAGAGAAAACTCCAGGCGGGGGATAGGACAGGTTCTACTAGCCCTGGACAGCAGCAAGGGTGGGAGATCTGCCCCAGGGACATTCTGAGGAGTCTGACACTGACCTTCGGGCACTTACCTGGAGAGAAGAAGCATCAGGAAGCTGTCAGACCTGGCCATGGTCACTTCTCATCTCTGGAAGGGGATAAGAAAAACATTAATGCAAAGAAGACCTTAGTGTTAATTAGTACCGGGGCCAAATAGAGTAAGATGAAATTTGGGTTAAAAAAAAGTATTTACAAGTACAAGACTGCGTGGAGCATAGGTGGACATCAGCTTCTCTGTAAAAGATCTGGGGGATTTAGTGGGGCCCACAAGTTCAGTCTAAGTCAGCTGTGTGATGCTGAGGCCAAGAAAGTTCAAGCCATCTTAGGTTGAATTAAAAGAGGCACCATATTCTATCCAACATGAAATGTCAGAGCTAGGAGGGACCTTAGAGAATAGAATATCAGAGCTTAGAAGGTCCTTGGAGCATACAATTGGTCAGGATCTTGGGGCACAGAACACGACACAGTTGGAAAGGGACTTCAGAACATACATAGAATGTTACAGATGAGAGGGACCTTAGAACAGAGAATGCCAGAGCTGAGATAAAACTTAGAACCATGGAAAATGGTAAATCAGAGCTAGAAGTGACCTTAGAACATAGAACAAGGGCTCTGAAAGCTGAGAGGAACCCTATGACATACAGAATATTAGAAGTCAAAGGAAAGAAACAATAAAATTAAAAGAGATCATGGACCACAAAATGCAAAACTTTGAACAAGAAGCATTAGAAGATAGAAGTTAACATGGAACCGGGGAAAAAGAAAATACTAAATTAAAAAAAAAATAGAAGTTAAACTACCAAAGCTGTATAAGAACTAGGAGCACAGAATTTTGAGTTGCAAGTAACATTAAAATACGGAACTCCAGAAAAATGGCCTTTAGAATATAGGAAAGAAGATTAGAGTTGTAAGAGACATAAAAATTAGAGACTGGGAGCCAGAAGGGACCTCAGAACAGCAAACGTCAGACCTAGAGAACGCTTTATATGGGGGACTCAACCATTCTGGGGGCCCTGGACCCCTCTGGCAATTGGTCTGGTGAATCCCAAAGAGCTCTTTTCAAGATCATGTCTTCAAATGCATAAAATAAAATAGAGAGGATTACAAAGGAAACCAACTATTGAACTACTATTATCAAAGCACTGAAAGGTCCATGGTCATGGATCCCTGTGGATTCCAGGTTCAGAACCCCTGCCTTAGAATACAAGCTATCAGAGCTGGAAGGTACCTTAAAATACCGAGCATAGAACGTCGGAGCTAACAGGAAACTTAGAATATACAAAGTCAGAGCTAGGGATGCCCATCAACTGGGGGAATGGCTGAACAAGCTGTGATACATTATTTTGATGGGATACTGCTGTATTATAAGAAATGACAAACAGGATGCTCTCAGAAAAACCTGGAAATAATTTCCTTCACTGATGCAAAGTGAAATGAGCAGAACCAGGAGAACACTGTACACAGTAACAGCCACACTGTGCAGTGACCAATGTGAATGACTTAGCTGTTCTCAGCAATACAATGACTCAAGGCCATTCCAAAGGGCTCATGATGAAAACCATTATCCACCTCTATAGAAAGCACTGATGGAGTCTGAATGCATATCAAAGCATAGTTTTTTAACTTTCTTTGTTTTTCTTGTCAGTTTTTTTTCCCCTTTGGTTTGTGGTTTCTCTCACACCATGACTAATGTGGAAATATGTTTTGCATGACTGCACACGTATAACCTATATCAAATTGGTTGCCTTCTCCATGAGGGCAGACAGGAAGGAAGGAGGGAGAGAATTTGGAACTCAAAATTTTTAAAAACAAATGTTAAAAAATGTTTTTGCATATACTTGGGGAAAAAATAAAATATTTTACATATATATTTTAAAAGTCAGAGCTAAGAGACCTGAAATTATATACTGTCAGGACTGAAGAGGTCATTTGACCACGAACGTCCAAGCTGAAAGAGGCCTAGAATACAAAGAGATGTTTGCAGACAGCAGCCGTCTTTTTCTCTCTCCCTACCTCACTTTCTCACCTCTCTCCCCACCTAAACACCAAGTGTTTAGCCCCACTCTGGATTATCTCCCATGAGGGTGACTACTACCCTCATATTCAAAGAGCATCTATGGGTCCACACTCCTAAAACTGTAACTCACAACCCCCCACAAGTGAGCTTACATCCTCTCCCCTGCTTGTTGTCCTCCAGTAGTGGAAGGCAAAGACCCCGTACCACCAAGCTGCCACTCCCTGCCTCAAACTGCTAATCACAGCTGACTGGCTTAGTGTTTCTAAGGGACACCCAGGGCATCTTTCCCCAGACAGTGGCCAGGCTCCTTTTCTAATTTAATCAAAGAATTTTCCCCACACTGAATAAAGGCGTAGATGCATTTCTGTGCTTGGTGCCTATCACCCTGTTACCTTTATTATCTGCTCTTTAATTGCTAGGATTATATAAACAAGCTTGAGGAGTAGGGACCAACCCTCATTACTCCATTGAGGATGCTAGCAGGTTTTTTTGTTTGCTCGTTTTGCTTTTTTGGTGAGGCAGTCGGGGTTAAGTGACTTGCCCAGGGTCACACAGCTAGTAAGCATTATGTGTCTGAGGCCGAATTTGAACTCCCTAGCAATTTCTAATATGCATAGAGTCTTTTGTGAGGTCCCAGGCCTTTTCCATACAGCAGGTGCTTCTCCATACAGCCCAGAGCTTAAACTCACCTCTAACTACGTAACTGTACACATCTGACAACAAAGTTTTATAAAGTTCCTCAGAGTTTAACATTAACCTTGGTGTTTGTAAGAGTCTAGACCAACCCAAACAACAATAAGAAAAGGGGGAAAAGTAAAACAATGAACAGCAGCAAAATAAGTAAACAGAAAAAAAGAGAAAAAACAACAATTTTCCCTCCTGCAAGGGGAAGTCTAGTCCGAGAGAAGCTTCTAAGTGCATGTGGGGTGGCTGAGAGGACCCTTAGAACAGGGAATGTTAGATATGGCAGAGGCTTAGAACATGGAATGTCAGAGCTAGAAGGAAAGGGAATGTCAGAGATTGGAGAGGCTTACAACATGGAATGTCAGAGCTGAAGGACCCTTAGAACAGGGAATGTCAGATATGGCAGAGGCTTACAACATGGAATGTCAGAGCTGGGAGGGACCTTAGAACAGGGAACGTTAGATATGGCAGAGGCTTAGAACTTGGAATGTCAGAGCTGGGAGGGACCTTAGAACCACAAAATGGAACCACCAGGACTAGAAAGACATGTAAAAGACAGAACATGGAGTAGAACAGCTACGAATTACCTCCAACCGTGTAATATGAAAAGGTGAAAAGAACTGAGTACATCGCAAAAATAGTGTCAAGTGGGACTAAATCCCATCCGCTCTTGGCAGTCAGATCCATCTTGCAGGGATTCTCAAAACTCATTTTGTTGCCTTATGGCTCCCCGCCCATACCAGGCACATATTTTGTATCCACTATTCTGCACATCTGTTGCTTTCACCCTACCCCCTCCTCCCAAGCAGAATGAAAGCAGCCGGAGGACAAGGGCTGCTTTGTCTCGGAATCCCTAGTGCCTAGTAACTGGTAGAGCATATTGGCTTAATCAAACTGAATTAAAGAAATGGGACTTAGACCTGAGATGATGATGATGATGATGATGATGACGTAATGGAGAGTGGACTTGTGATTTCATTGGCTAAAGAGACTCAGGTGAGGAAACTCCCTCCACCAATGCAGCTTGGCAGCGCAGAGAACTGCCTAGAGCCCTAGAAAGTGAAGTGACTTGCCCAGGGTCATATAGCCAATGTCTGTCAGAGGCAGCACTCTAACATTTCCCTAGGAGAATTTAATTTCTTTGGGTGCAAGAACAGCTCTTCATGTTGTCTTTGTGTCTCCAAATACAGAAAGAGTGCCTTACAAGTAGTGCATGCTTAATAAATATTTATTGGCTTGGATTGGATTGGAAGGTGATGTGCGCCATCTGCTGGAGATCGGTGGAGCTGCAGAGACCAGCAAAGGAGAGGAGTTTCGGGAGGTGAGCACGGAGCAGCGAAGAACAGCCCTCCTCCCTGCTGGAGCCCCACCCAGGGCAGCACTGTGAGTCACAGAGATTACAGGGCTCTCTAAAAGGCAGCCTTGGAGCTACACTCTAGTGGCTGGTATGCAAGTCCTTTCTGTGTTCACTGACTTGTAAATAAAATTATATTTGAGTTTCGCAAGCCTGAATGCTTGGAATGCCCTTGGGGAAAGTACCAGATACTGATGTGCATCCGATGGGTAGAGGCAATGCACCCATGCTGGCCTCTACCACAAGAGCTGTGCATGAAAAGGCCTGGGGGTCTCTGGATTGCAAGTTGGATGAGAAGGACGTATCATGCTATGCGGATCAAATAAAGTGCACGCGGCCTCCGGCTGCCTGCACGGAGGTGTCGTTTCCAGATCTGGGGAGAGCTCGTCCGACTCCTCCTGCCCTAGCCGGAGTCCAGTTCTAGGGCCAAGTCTCACGAGGGGCCTGACAAAATCGGAGGCGCTGAGAAGGCCGAGGACAGGACAAGGGAACGGGACACGTGACGGTCGGCCAAAGGGAATGGTCAGCCGGGAAGAGAGAAGATTTGGATTGGGGGGCAAGGAAGGACATGTAAGGATATCTGTCAAAGTACGGGAATGGTTTTACTTTGGCCATTATTTGTTTGGCCCTGCAGGGCAGAATGAGGAATAATGGGGGCAAACTGTAAACATATTTTGACCCAAAATAAGGGAGAAAATGTTTTGACACACGGAGCTGTCCAAAAGTGAAATAGGCCGCTTCCCGAGGTAGTAAGGTCCCCATCACTGGCCGTCTTCCAGCAGAGATCAGATAAACCACTGGTGGGAAATAGTAAGAAAGGATTCCTACCTAGGGACAGGCTGGAACTACTACAAGGCCTCTGAGGTTCCTCCTTACTCTGAGACTGATTCTGAGAGGGAATTAAGTCAAGCCAGGGCCCTCCCGCTCCCTGCTCTTTGGGATCCCTTGAAGGAAAAGGGAGACACAGAAAGCCAATCTCCCCTCAGAGCCCAGCACAGTGCCCTGAGTCCCACGGTCCCACAGATCTTTGGGAGACATCTTTGCTAGGGGCATCGACCGGAGCCTGTGACACCCAAATTCCCAGCTCTGCCATTTATTTATCTCACCTGCATGTCTCAGGCAGGTCACCTCTCTGGGGACCAGCCTCCTCTACGCAATTCCTTCCAGTTAAGTCTAAGGCCCTGTGCTTTGAAGTCTGCAACACCTTTTGTGAGCCTCGCCACCACCACGTCAGTTAAGTTATCCAACGGGGCAGTATCCCCATCTTATAGATGAGGAAATGAAGGCTCAGAGACGAAACTGACTTACTGCAAGTCACGCAGTAGAGTCAGGGGCAGGATTTGAACCCCACATTCCTGAGTCTATGCCAGGACTCTCCCTAACTTTCTCCAATGAATAACCGTTGTTGCTAAATCCCACCAGTAAAAGTCATCAAGATGGTAGAGTTAGAGGTAGAAGGGACCTCAGAGACCACCCCTCAGCTGACAAATGAAGCCTGGAGAGGTTAGTGACTTACCCAGGGTCATACAACTGGTATATGTCAGAGGCAGGATTTGAACGCGGGTCTTCACAACTTTGAAAACAACTCTCTAACCACCACATCATGCTATTTCACATCCAACTGACATTCTCCTGTCCCCATGAGGGGCAGTGTGGCCCGGGGGACAGAGCTGGAGACGGAGTCAGGAAGACTTTGGTTCAAATCCCACCTCCCGGACTTTGACTCATGGTGTGATCCAGGGGCAAGACACGTGGATTAAACTCTCTGAGCCTCGGTTTTCTCATCAGGAAAATGGGAATAATAGCGCCGACCGTACCCAACCCCGAGCGCTGCTGCGAGTGAAGTGATCTCTAAACCGTAAAGCTCCGCGGACACGTCAGCCGCGATGATGATGACGAAGAGCAGAAATCCCGCGCTGACTGTGAATCTGCTCTTCCTAGACCCGGGTGTTCGGCGAGAGCTGCAAGGGAAGGGATCCCGAGGGCTGGGTGTCGTTAGTGTCAGTGCAGGCATGTTAACACGGGCGTTCACAGTCACGTCAGCTAGTGTCTCCTATAGCGCCTCACGGCTCGCGGAGAAAGAGAACCTACATTGACTCATCTGATTCTCACGACAGCCCTGCGAGGTTGGTGCTGTTGCCATCACCCCCATCTTACAGAGGAGGAAACTGAGGCACAAAGGGAAGTGGTTTGCCCAGGGCCACCCAGCTAAGTTAGTGCCTGAGGCAGGATTCGAACTCAGGTCTTCCCGACTCCAAGTTCTGTGCCTTATGCCACGCCCCCTCCTGTGCCACCTAGCTGCAGCCCTTTAGGTTAAAAGATAAAGCATGACTTCGATGTTGGTATGAAAAAAGAATGGTCAGAATCTTCTAAAAAGCGTGTGCATGTACATGTATACATATGTGTGTACACATGTGTGTCTATACCTGTGTACATGCGTGTAACATGTGTGCGTGCATATGGCAGTCGGGAGGTGCAGAGAGGATAGAGTACTGGGCCTGTGGTCGGGAAGATGTGAGTTCAGATCCAGCCTCAGACTCTTATTAAGCTGCGTGACCCTGGGCAAGTCACTCTACCCTGTTTGCCTCAGTTTCCCCATCTGTAAGATGAGCTGGAGAAGGAAATGGAAGACTACTCCAGTATCTCTGCCAAGAAAACCCCAAATGGGGTCCCAGAGAGTCAGACAGGACTGAACAGCTACAACATATATATGTCTGTATACATAACACACACACAAACACACACACACACACACACACACACACACACAACACACACATACATCTGCTCTCTCATGCGATGTTATCATACATACTCTCCAAACTGAAACAGAAATGGATCCCCACGGATAGAAAACTACAAATTAGCAAACATCTGCGTTACACTGTATTTTAATTTATTTTGACAGAAATTTCCCAATGCCATTTTCGTCTGCTCTGGGCAACACTTGGGATTTGGGCTCTTGCCAGCTGCTAATTACACGAGAAAACAGAGGGGCCTGATGGAAGACCAGCCTCTGACATATACGGGCTGTGTGACTCTGGGTAAGTCACTGCACCTCTGAGTTCAGGGCCCCAGGTGACTTTCTAAGGCCACCCCCTTCCCCTATACTGGGATCACAGGCCCCTACGAATGGGCCCTGTGCCCTGCGTCACCATTATCTATTCTATGCCTTCTACAAAAGTCTAAAAAATAAAGCCACCTTCCCTTATGCTTTCTATTCATCAGACGATGCTTTTAAAGAAAGTTCTGTCACAAGATAAGTGTGTTTGGTCGTTACAGAGCCAAGGATGCTGCTAAGATCAGAAACATTTAAATGTCTGCCACGGGATAGGATAGATCCCAAGACTGGGAATAGAAGTTGTCCGATTTTGTCTGAATGGAAGTCATGACTTTAACTTGGTGTTTTCATATAATGCTCCATGAGGGACTGATCAACAGACAGACAGAGAGATCTGGATGGGGGGGTGGGGAGGGTGAAAAGGCACCACACTTGAGGTTGTATTACCGCAGGAAACCCCCAATGAGAAAACCCCTTCTTCCAACAGAAGACCAGCAGCTGCTTCCTGAAACTTAGCATCTTGTCCCCTGAAGCTCTGATCAGTCCAGGATTGGACAGTCAGTACCCTGAACTCGTCCCTCCTGAGCTCCGAGGTTGGCTTCCTGCTCAACAGCCATCCATGGATGCCCACACGGATCTATACTTAGGTACCGACACACCCGAATGTGGATCTCACGGCCACAGGGAACTCACTCCTGCAAGGACAGACCACAACCAATCTATTACTCAGAAGACTTGAGGTGACATACTGCTGGAACCTGGAGTCAGGAAGACTTGGTTGTTCAAAACCGACCTTCTAGCACTTACTAGTGGTGTGACCTCGAGCCCTTAATATACCCCTCTGGGCCTTGGTTTTCTCATCTGTAAAATGGAGTTACTAGGACCTGTCATACCAACTCCACAGAGTTGTAAGAAACCCTCCAAAAAGTATGTAAATCGCTCGGTAAACCTTAACGCAAAATAAGAATGTTAGTTATTATTCCTAAATGCATCTCTACAGTGATATAAATAGTACTATCTATGTAATATATGAAGTAATACCATAATTATAATTCAGTACATCAGAGACTGTAGCTGTGGGTTCTACAGGGAGAGATCACCACATCCTGTACAATTCAGCAGACTCATTAATTACTGCAGCTGAGAGGGGAAAAAAAAACTGTGAGTGAGGCACCCATCCAGAATTAGCCGGGCTGGCCTGTGAGTTAGAGATAACAGAAGCCATCTCCCCTCCCGGGGCCTGTCCTGGAAGACATCCTGGCTTGGGAGGCCTGACGGCAGTTTGCTCTCCGATAGTACAGATTCCCCACACCCCAGCGAGGCCGTAAAAGCAGAGCATTGGAGAATTATTAATAATAGAATTTATAATTCCATTTCAACTCTCCTGGTGACAAAAGTCAGAATGTGCCCAAGTGGAGAAGAGGGTGCTACAAACCAGGAACTCGGATGTCGGCGTGAGCCCGGTGTGGACAATTAGGAGGATGAGAAGGGTCTGGCGGGGGCAGAGCGAAGCCTTGTGGCAAAGCCAACAAGCATTTATTAAGCACCTACTGTGTACCAGGTGCTGCCCTAAACACTGAGGCTGCAAAGGCAAAAGGCGTCCCGTCCTTGCCGGTCTAACACATCTCATCCCCGAAGGTCATTCAAGGAATATTCAAGTGGGCCAGAGGGACAGAGTGACCTTGGCCAGAGGCAGAATCGTCCTGGCTAAGTGCATGTCCTCCTCCAGGCCTGGAGCTGGGGAGGGGACAGGGGGGTTTCAGCCCAGGCTGTGCCAGTGACTTGCTAGGTGTCCTGGGCAAACTTCCCCCTCTGGGGGTCCCCATCTGGGCTCTGAGGATTAACTGGCTGGGTGACCTCAGGGGAGTGAACTTGGGGAAGAAGGGGTTTTGTAAGCCTGAAAACACCATGGAAAATTACTATGAAATCCTGACTACTACTAGGCTGGGAATCCCCGGGGGACGATGACTGGGTTTTGTCTCTTTCTAAGTAAGCCTGCTCCTCTGCAACTTCTAGGCGTGAGTACCTCTCCTCTGGAGCCAGCAGGGTGGTGACTGGGCCTGAGTTCAAATCCAGCCTCAGGCCCTTCTTAGCTGTGTGACCCTAGGCAAGTCACCTCGCCCTGTTTGCCTCAGTTTTCTCATCTGGAAAATGGGGATCACAAGAGCTTCTCAAAGTGGTTGCGGGGATCAAAGGAGATCACGAAGTGCTTAGCACAGTGACTGGATTAGCCAATTACTCACGCCCAACTCTTCAAGACCCCATGGGGGGCTTTCTTAGTTTGTTATTTCCTTCTCCAGCTCATTTTACAGATGAGGAAACTGAGGCAAACAGGGAGAAGTAACTTGCCCAGGGTCACACAGCTAGTGGCTAGATTTGAACCTGGGTCCTCCCGATTCCCAGCCCAGCACACTGTGCCACCCAGCTGCCCTTCATAAACGTTAGCTATTTACTATCACTATGTTGTTTCCCTCCTTATCTACTTTTGTGTCCCACCTTCTGCTGGCCTGGGCTCCAAGAGGGCAGGCAATCAGTCTGACCTAGACCGTCCACACATCCTAGGAACTTAACAGGTGTTTGCTGAGTGAATTCTACAGAACGGGCAGGGTGGGACAAGGTCTCTGAGAGGGCGTCAGCCTGGGGACTGGGGGGAGCAGAGGAGAAGAGAGTGCTCCCGGGTGAGGTGGTCCATGGAAGCTTCCTGGGGGAGGGGAGCAGTGACCAAGCCCCTACCTGCTGGTCCACTAAGTCCCCTGTACCAGCTCCCAGACAGTCCCTGTCTAACCCCACCCCTCAGGTCCCTCACCACCCAAGCATCCAGTCTTGGGCTCTATCTTTGTAAAGACAGCCTTCATCCCACCTCTCCTGTGCTTACGAGAGCTCCTCAGCTCGTCCTGATGAAGAATGCGCTATAGTGAACAGAAGTCATGAGGTCTGGGTTCAAATCCAGCCTCAAACACTGACTAGCTATGGGATGAGGAGCAGGGCTCCACCTCTCAGAAACCCCATTCCATCCCCACAATGGGGACAATATTTTTATGACCTCCAACGTACTATACGGAGGTCATGTGATTAGTCAATGCAATTAAACTAACACGGTGTTAAGCTAGGGAGGGGAGGGGGTTACACAGACAAAAATGAAATAATTCCCACCCTCAAGGAGCTTCCATTCTGTGTGCTGGGGGTGAGGTAGGGTATAATCAGCCTACATACAAAGTTATCTGGGGTAGAGAAATAACAGAAGGGGTTACCTTCTAACACTAGAAAGGACCAGAAGATCCAAGAGGTGGAGATGAGAAGGTCCAGGCCTTGGAAGGGTTGGGGAGCCAGGCTGTGCAACTGATGGGAGGTAGAAGAGTGTATACCAGAAAGAAACAGGAAGCTGGCCAGTGCGGCTGGAACGTAGAACCTGTGAGTTGTGGGGAGAGTCTGGACGCAGCTGGTGAAGATTCCAGAGCGGGACGTTCTGTCCCAGCGGCCACAGGCCATGCTTCAGGACTGCTGGTTCAGCTGCTAAGTGGAGGATGGACTGGCAGAAGAGGCTACTGCAGTGGTCTAGGTGAGAGGGGAGGTCCGCGTGGCAACCACAGAGTGGAGGTGAAAGCGGCTGCAGAGCCGGAAGTGACAAGATCTGGCTGCGAGGACCAGAGACGGGGGCTAAGGAAGAGCAGAAAGTGGGGGGACAACGCCAAGGGTGCAAACCTGGGATTCTGCAAGGATGGTGAGAAATACAGGGGCTCTGGAGGAAGGACAGACTCAAGAGGAAAGGATGACGAGCGCCATTTTGGATGGGCTGACTTTGAGAGGCCTGTGGGACACCCAAGCGGAGATGTGGACTGATGGAAGTGGGACTGAGGCTCAGGAGACAGATGGGGGCTGGAGTCATCTGCAGAGAGATGAGAAGGGAATCCTTGGGAGGTACTGAGATCACTGGGAGGAACAGCCCCGGGGCACACCCAGCAAAGAAGACTGAGAAGGAGCGGTGAGACAGGAGAGAGTGTCCACGAGGAGGGAGTGGTCAACAGCTGCAGAAAGGTCAAGGAGGATGAGAATTATTATTCCAGGCCTTCCAAATCTGGCCCCAGCCTCCCCGGTTCTCAAGCCAATCTCCCCTCCCCTTCCCAATCAAAGCTCGGCAGGGCCCTCTCCCTTCCTTCCCAACACCACCCACATCCTCATCAACCCTGTCTTACAGTGCCCTCTTCTCCCAAGAATTCCATTTCTAGCTGGGAAAGTCTAGTCCAACCCCATTTTACAGATGAGGAAACTGACGCACCAAGAAGTGACTGGCCCAGGACCACACAGTAGCTAGAATTTCTAGAATAGCTAGAATTATTCTTAATAATTAAATATTAAGACATAAACATTTCTATAGTAGGGCTATTTCCTCTCAACCCTGTGAGCTTGGTGGTGTGAGGCTTAGGATCCCCATTTTAAAGATGAAACTGAGGTGCCACACACAGTCAGGATTTGAACATAGGTCTTCTGATTCTTTGTACCAAACCACCTGCCTCCATCCTGGTGGAGTCCAAGCCTTATCTCAAGGTTACTCAAAATCCCCGACCTCATGAGTGGAAGAGGCCATCATGACTCTCCTAGCCCTTACCCCATCCCCCATGACTCTGGGAACCTCCTGTCTGTGCTGGAGAAGCCAGGTGAAGTTCAGCCTCCAAGGATCCCACCTCCCTCTCCCTCTCCCTCTCCCCGCTAACCTGAGTCAGGAAATGTGATCCCCAGGGCAGGCAAGAAGTTGGGTAGTACCAGCTTCTGAAATCCCACTGAGTCAAGAGCCTCTGTCCCAGGATGTGGGAGACCCTTCTCCTACGGCTACTACCCACCCCTGGCTACTGGGACTCAAGGGTCTTTCCACTTCCTGAAAGTCCTACTCTTACCCAGGAGGCTTCTGCATTTCACCCTCTTCCCCTAGGGGCCAACCAAGGGCCTCGGGCCTTACTGAGCAGGAACTGAACTGTTCCTTGGCAAGCAGCCAGAGGAATCCTGTCTACGTGCCAACGGTGTGGCACGGTGGAGAGAATGCCGGATTCACAATGGGACAACCTGAGTCTGCAACCCAGTTCTGTCATGTCCTCGATGAGTGGCGGTCCCTCTGTGGGGCTCAGTTTCCTCATCTGTTAACATAAGGAGTGCTGATAATGTTTTCAGATATGGAAGAAAGGGGAGGATGTGTGGAGGGGGCACCATCTCTGATGACATTAGACATCCCCAAGTAAGCAGAGAAGCATCAGCCACCCAGCCCCAGCTAGGAGGCGTGGGAAGTAGAGAGCTGGGCTTGAGTCAGGAGGACCTGAGTTCCACTCCGGCCTCGGACGCCCCCCAGGGCAAACCACTCAGCCTCTGTCAGTCCCAGATCAATCGACTGTAAAATGAGGATAATAACACCCACTTCCCAAGGCTGTTGTGAAGATAAAGTGAACTAATACTTGTAAAGGGCTTTGCACTGCAGAAATGCTGCTGGCTGTTCATTCTAACCTAGGCGATTCAAAGTCCCACAGGCCTAGCCAGGCCCCCGCAGCACGGGCTTTGGACTCCCTATGGGCTGCCCAATACACCTTACAATATATCTTTTCCCCACAGAAGGGAAATTCATAAGACCATGGGACCGAAAACTAACTTGCTATTATCTCCCCTTAATGGCCCAAAGGGAGTAGGAGGTGGAGAGAACTATCACTGAAATTAAAGGCTGCTGCCGAGGTCCAGAGAACAAAGGGGAAGAAGGCAGGACCGGAGTAAGGAGGATCTGCCTCGGACAAATAGCTTCACCTCTGACCTATCAAATGGGGCTAATAGAGGACTGTCTCTCCCAGCTGTTACAAGCCTCAGATAAAGGGTAAAAAGCATTTTGTAAACCATAGAGGATGACAGAAATGATGTCTTTGCCCCCCACCCACCCAGAAGAACATCACCAATCAATGAATAAGTATTCTACCTACCACACAGAGCCCCAAATGAAAGGGCCCCATCCCCCAAGAGCTAGTATTCTCATAGGGAGACAATTTCCATCTATTGTATCTACAAACATGTAATGGAAATTCCTTGAGGATGGGGGTGGGTCTTGGTCTGAAGTGCCTAACACACTGCCTGGTCCCATCCATCCTGGCTTTCTGCAAGTGAGTATTCATTCTTTCCTTGAAGGCTCCAGGTATGGAGACCTCCCACCCTCCTCTCTGGCTCCCTCCCAAGGCAGCCTGTTCCATTCGGGGATCACAAGAGTGATGTCTAGCCTTTACTAACAATCATGGGTACATTGAGTGGAATAGACCAGGGCCCAAATCCCAGCTGGCCACTTTACTACTGGTGGGACTTTGGGGAAGTCACTTTCACAATTCCCTGGGCCTCAGTTTCCTCATCCATAAAATGGGGCTGTTAGACTAGGTCCTTTTTTTTCCCCCTTCATTGACTAGGTCCCTTCTGACTCTTAAATCTACTGTCTAAAGGCAAGCCATCATCTGCAACTCCACTCTCTGCTTCATGCCCCACTGTGTTGGATTCCACTCTCAGGCCAGGGAAGACCAGGTCTACCCTCTCTTTCACCTATCAACCTTTCTCTCTTCTCCAGGCTTCTCCATTCCTTCAGTTTTTCTATGTTGTAAGTAATCCCTGAATTTCCATGACAGCCACAGTGCTTAATCCTCCCCAGCATCCTCATTTGCATGTCTTTTGGTAGCCCTGCCCTTAACATGGGGCATCCTAAGCCAGTCATCTTTCTCCCCCCCAATTCTCACAGCCCCATCACCATTCCCATCTCTCAGCAGCCAGGGGTCAAAATTCCCCAGTTCCTCCTCCCTTCTTCCTTTCCAATCTATAAAGTCATCACAAACTGACCATTCACTCCTCCTCTCCCAAGGCTCTGGGGACCCCTCTTTCTCCATCATCTCCATACCCCAGCTTGACAAGATGCGGCCCCCCTCCTCAGGAAGCCCCTTCTTCAAAGGAGCCTAAACTGGATGGCCTCAAAGGAGCAGGCCTGGAGGCCAGGGGGCCAGCCTGGAGCGTCCAAACCTACCCCACAAACAGCAAGAGTTTTCCGGAACCCTGGGCTCTCTGGCTTGCATAAAACTGAACTCAAATTTTGACTTCCTGCAGGAAGCTCTCCCTGATCCCTGTGGCTGCCAATTACCTCTTCTCTTCCCCGAACCTCCCTAAACATCTGGTTTACTCCTGATGTACTTATACTACATTTGTCTGTGTTTCTATCCTTTTCCTCTATGAGACTCTAACCTTGGGCTCTGCTAAGCCTGCTCTTGTGGGCCAGGGTCCTCTTTACAAAAACTGTATTCCAGGCAGGCCTCCTTTCCTAGTTTCTCCCTGGAAGCCACCCCAGAGGCTGAGCAGATCGGTGTGCTGGGAACAAAGATCAGACAGGAGATCAGACAGGAGTAGGGAGGGGAGAGCAGTGGGGAGCATCCCAGAACCTCAGGGTCCATCCACTGGACAGGAAGCACCTCCACACCATCTTCAGCCAATGGTCAGCCAGCCTTCACTGGAAGACCCTCACCACCTGCTGAGGCAGTTCCTTCCTCCTCACTGGGAGAAAGCGCTTCCTTACGTTAAGCCCAAATTTGCAGAACTCCCACCCACCCCTGCCCCCACTGATCCTAATTCTATACTTCCTCCCTCTTGAAAACTGTTCATCTTATTTCCAAGGTAAACTTCCCCAGTTCCTTCCACCGGTCGCCACACGGCCTGATCTTAAGGCCTCCACTCTGTCCAGATCCTTCCTCTTACTCACTTCCAGCTGGCTCATCGTCTTCCCGAAAAACCAAACACCAGACCAGGGCAGTATACTGAGGGACTATCCCCTCCCTGGTGATGCCACCTGCCCTAACTACCTGAGTCATCTTCTACTCCAGAGGGACTGGGGAATTGGGAGCCAAACCCTCTCCAGCTGCTTTCCTACACCCCCTTTCCTTGACATGTCAGCTTCCCCAAGCCAATTCCACGGCTCCATCTTCCTTCAAACCCTGGTTCTAATTCACTCTTAACCAGTGCTTGTCAAGTGGAGATCTGTGCCCAGCCCTTCAGGGAGACAAAATTATGGAAGACGCCATCTGGGTTGGCATCTCTCTTACCTCTGCTGGCTAGACATCCTTTCGGCACAGACAGATTCTCCTGGGGGAGAAGGGGACCTGTTGAAAAGGGGGAAAACCCAGGGCTGAAAGAGAAAAGTTAGACACATTACACCTAGCCCCACGGGGAGAGGGAAGACCTAGGGCTGGGTAGCTCTGGCTTCATTGGGCCTTTCCAAGGGGGACCCCTCCCCTGGCCGGCCATGACAAGAAAAACAGAAAACAAAGTGTTTTATCCACATTATCTCCTCTGAAACTCACAATATACCCCCATGTGGACCGGGATGGGGGTCAGAGACAGGCTCCCCTGATAACAAGTAATCAGCAAAAGGAGGGAAACAGACTCGTCCAAAGTTACCCAGGCAGGTAACAGCAAACCCCAGTGCTCTGGTCCGGGGAGCTCTCTTTCCACTACACTGATTTCCCCCATTTTACAGGTCAGGAAAACTGAGGCTAAAGGGATTTGAGTGATCTGCTCCAAGTTCACACAGCCAGTAGTGGGGAGGGCCAGGAACCAAACCCCATTTCTAAAAGGCCCTGTCCTTTGTGGTCAGAGAATTTCCAGTCCTTTAGGGGACAGAGATGCAGATAAATGAGTAACTATACAACATAACGTGATAAGCACATTAGTGAGGCATAATGAAATTAGTATTCCATGAGGTTGGAAGGACAAAAGTACCAAGGGTAGGGGGCGGGGAGGGAGATGGCTTTTAAAGAAGGACTGAAAAGGCTGGGTGAGGAGTCAGGAAATGATGCTTTTCTTGAAGTTTATCCAGTAGTTCTCACCCATATCTTGGCTTGTGTGAGCTCGGGTAAGCGTCTTCCTCTCTGAACCTGAGTTTTCTCCACTACACAATGAGGGGCCTGGACTAGACCCTTTCGAAGGTCCTTTTTGGCTCTAAATCCTTTGGGCCTTGGGGCTGACTATTTGGACCCTGAAGGCCAGGCCAAGATCCCCCTAACGTGTCCTCTGCTCTGCTTCATGAGATTTATGAGTGAAAGGTGGGGTTATCTCCTGCCAGGGGGTCGGGCTGAGGCTGATGGGTCAAGAAAAGGGCCAGGACAGGCCTTTTCATGTGGAATGAAATGAAGTTTCATAGGGAAGACCCTCGCCCCTCTACCTGCCCCAAATACACTTGAGGAAAGAGCATAGGAGACGTGAGGCTCTGGTCCCCCAGAATAACTGGATGACCACTTCTTGGGTTTGCTGGAGAAAGGATCCTAGCTCAGGAATGTCACAGATGAGACGGCCTTGGGTGTACCCTTCCAACTCTGACATTCTGTGAAATGGAAGTTTTGTGACATCAGATTTTTAATGTTTGCCTGAGAGCAGAGGGAGATGTTCAAGTGCTCAGGTGGGTCATCCATCAATAAACACTTATTAAGCACCTCCTATGTGCCAGGCACTCTGCTAAGTTCCACTAAATTTTCTACCTACAATGGCAGAATAGACCCATCTGTCAAAGAGGGATGGACAGATATCTGAGAGGCAGATAGCTGTAGTAACGAAGAAAGAGTCAGGAAAAGCCTGGATTCCAAACCTCCCTTCAAAATCTACTAGCTGTGTTGTGTGACTGTGGGTAAGTCCCTTATCCTTGGCCTCAGTTTCTTCATCTGTCATTCGGGGATAATAAATACCTCTGGTCCCTACCTCACAAGGTTATGGGGAGAATCAAATGAGACAATGTAGATAAAACATTCTGCAAACCTTAATGGGCTGTAGAAATAAATGTCACCTACTATTACCTTCTCAGATACTTGGTTGGAAAGGAGAGCACCTGATGAGTCATCAAGGGATATGGGTTCAAGTCTTGGCACTGCCTCTAATGTACAATTTGACTTTGTCAAAGAGGGCAGTTAATTAAACTCAACACAGCGTGAGACCATGGGCAAATCCCTTTCCTCTGTGTTTCTCAAGCAAACGAGTTAACACGACATAAAGTACTTTGCCAACCTTAATGCTAGCCACTACCATCTCGCTGTTCCCTGTGAGCCTCAGTTACCCTCTCTGTAAAATGAAGGAATCTGACTAGACATCTCTAAATCTTACCATTCCTATGGCTTCTAGTGCCACATCTTCCAGTGGCCTGGGCTAAGTTCCTTCCTTCCTTCCTCTCTCTAGGCTTTGCGTTTCCCTGTCTAAAAAAAATAAAATAAAATAAAAATAATAGAAAATCTCTAAGGACCCTCACATCTCTCAAGTTTGATAGGTCTATGACTGAGCTCAAAAGATGGTGGTTCTAGGGGGCAGCTAGGTGGCGCAGTGGATAGAGTACCAGCCCTGGATTCAGGAGGACCTGAGTTCAAATCTGGCTCCGACACATTATACTTACTAGCTGTGTGACCCTGGGCAAATCACTTAACCCCACTGCCTAACCAAAAAAAAAAAAAGATGGTGGCTCTAGTCCTGGGTCCCCAGTAGCCTCTGGGACCCCATACAAGTCACCTTCCCTGTCCCTGCTTCAGGTTCCGCTCTCTGTGAAATGAGGGGGTGAACATCTCAGTTAGGACCAACAGGAAAATAAAGGACATGCCTCCCTTGACCAGCTGCCCCATGGACACCCGATGGCCAAAGTGTAGCTTTGCAATCTGGGTTACAGGCTGAAATCCCAGTCAATCAGAAGGGACCTGAGGGGTCATTACGTCCAATGTACCATCACTGCCAAGTGGTCATCTCTCCAGCCTCTGTGAGGAGGGGGGGCACCCCAACTTCCCAAGCAAACTTCTCCATCTCTGGATGCCTCTTTAGGTTAGGAAAATTTTCCTCAAGCCATGCCTAAATCTGCTCCTCTGACACTCCCACTCATGCTCCAATTTATGACCTCTGGGACCAGGCCGAAGTCCACAGGACAACCCCAGTCTTCTCAAACAATATTCCCAAGATATGGCCTTGGGCTCCTTCCCCATCCTGCTCACCTTCTTCTAGAAGGATTCCAGTCTGTCAATATCTTCCTTAAAATGTGACACTTAGAACTCAACAGAGGATATGCCAAGGCCAAGTAGAGCAGAACTATCACCAGCTCCCTTGCTCTGGACACCATTCATGCATCTCTCCATGCAATCGGGCACAGCATTAGCCCTTCTGGCTGCCACTGGACATTACTGACTTATGCAGAGATTGTGGTCCACTAAGACCTCCATGCTTTTTCACTCAAAATGTCTGCCCATGCCTCTCCCGTCCTGTAGATTTTTAAAAACTCAATTTTAAAACCTTACATTCAAACAAATTCCCTCCTTTTAGGTTCAGTACATGGTTCTAGCAGGCCAAAGTATTTTTTGATGTTGGCTCTATCCTTCCCAGATTCACAGTATTTGCAAATGTGATGACCATACCATCTACACCTTCACCCTAATCTTTGATGAACACGTAAGGCGGATCCCTGGGGCGCTCTGCTAGAGACTTCCCTTCAGAGTGACAATCACTCATTAATGCCAATGTGTTGAGCCTGGTCACTCAACCATTCTGAATCTATCTAAAAGTGTTAGGATACAGTCCAAAGGCCTTCCTACCACCTCAGTGTCGCATGTTACGGCATCACCCTCCTCTACAGGCTTAGTAACCCTGTCCAGAAAGGGAAGCAGGTTAGTGTGGGATATCCCACTCCTGGGGAAGTCACGCTGGCTCCTTCATGGTCGCCACCTCTCTTCTTAAATGACAACCAACCATCCCTTGCTCAAAACATTGTAGAATCTTGCCAGTATTCTAAACCAAACTCACCAGAGCAGAGTTTTGCAGACTCCACCGTCTCCCTTATTAGAAAATCAGGACATCTGCCCTCTAGGCCTGTAGCAGCTCTCTCATCCTCGATCTTTGGGCGGCTGAGCAATCAATCACACCTGCCCATCCTTTCAGGGCCCTGGGATGTGGTTCTGTCCCGGCCTGGTGACTCAAACTCCCTGAGGTCAGGAGGCTGCTCTGAATTACCCTGGGTGTGTCAAAACTCCCTTCTAACCACTTTTGAGCTACCCTTCCCAGTCAAAGATCATTCTCCTGGTGGGGCCAGTTTCCTTCCTTTTCCTCTCAGAGATCAGGGCACATTTTTGGATGTGCTGCGGAGTGAAATATCATTAAGAGCACAATCGACAATCCACAGATCAATGCACTGGGAGCATGCCCAGAAGGGAAGGATTCACACCTTAAGAATGACATCCCATAGGTCTGCCACTCGCGCCCCCAACTCACTCTGGCCAGATTTCCCTTTTGTAAGATGAGGATATTTAAGATAGCTAAGGTCTTTTCCAATGCTAACATCTGATGGGTCGGTGACTGAGTCCTAATTGTGCCTCCTCGGGTAAGCCCCTTCCCTTCCATTAATAGCACAAGGGTGTCTGGTCTCTGAAAGTCCCTCCTAGCTCACATTCTCAGGGTTCTTTGGCATTCTAAGGGCCCAGAGAGAGTGGAAAGACCTCAGGGTCTAGAGCTGGAGTTCCTGGGTTCAAATCTTTGCTCTGCCACTCACTCCCCAGGAGACTTGAGCAAGTCACTGAATCTCCCTGGGCCTGAATCCTCCTTACAAACTGCAGAGAATTGCACCCTTACCACATAAGGTTATTCGGATGAAATGAGGTAAGATACGTAAAGTGCTTTGCAAAACTGTAAAGCTGTGCATGACTCACTGCTCAGCCGGTGAAAAAGGAACCGGCTGGCACAGAACTGAAGCCTGGGTGGTGGATGACGGGGATGTACAAGTGGGGAAACAAAAGCTTGCTGGGATGACAGAAACAGAGACAGCATGGGGTAGTGGAAAGAGCACTGAATTTGGGGTGCGAGGACCTGGGTTCAAATCCCAGCTTTTCTACCAGCTATCTGCATGACTTCAGGTGAATCCCTTCTCTCCCAGCCTCCAGAAGGAGGATGACAGAGCCATCCTTCATGCTTTTCTGGAGTGGGGATCCCAGGAACATCAACCCTAGTACTTGGGGAAGAACAGCCTGTCTCCCTTTTTGAGCCCTCAGGGGGCTGTGGGATTGTCTCTGTGCTAAAAGGGCTTCCTGTTCTTCACCCTTGTGATCAGGGAGGAGTACAGAAGCTAAGGTGGGACCAAAATTGGGGCCTTCGAGACTCATCTGGTTCCACTGCCTTCCCGCAGAGAGAGGGGAGCAAGCTAGCCAGCAGCCAGGTCAGAAAGTCCTCGCTGCTTGCCTCCAAAACACAGAAAGAAAAATGGGGCCAGTGCTGAGCAGCTAGCTTCAAGGACGAAGTGCCTTAGGCTTAAAACTTTCTCCCTCCACGGAGAGGAGAGGTATCTGTGCTAAAAAGTATTTCAATGGGATAAGTTTCCAAGTTGGCCAACTCTCAACCCTCCCCTACCCACACCCACAATCCCCACCCTCCGCCCCCACCACCACCAAAGTAAATCCTACCTAAAGATACATTGCTAAGGGGGTCTTGGCTCCACCTAGAAACAAGCTCCCAGCAACCCAAGCATCCCTGATCTCATTTCTACAGCTCTTTCCTCAGAACCGCCTAAGGATGATGGCAATGCAGATGTTATTTATAGATGAGGACAGCAAGACTCAGAGCCTCACTATGGCTGGGCCCTAGGCCTTGCCTACCCAAGGTGACACAGCTAGTTGACTCAGACCTCCTGAGTCCTCAGGGATCCTTTTACCTATTACTATTTCTTTGCTTATTATTAGATATATCTGCTGTCTTATTTTCTCAAACACATTAAAGGTCCCCTGAGGTCAAATGCTCACCTAGGTGGTTATCAAAATTTAAAAAGCAGGAAATGTTGGCCCTACCTGATTGGGGAGGGGAGACAAAGCCTTGCCCTTGGGAAGACTCTTGGGGACACCCTAGTCAAGGTGATCAGGGAACACCAACGAGGATGAGGATTGTCAGGAGAGGCCTTTGGGTTCGGGACAAGGGGAGGAGGGAAGGCTCAGAGCACAAAAAGGGGGAACTACTGAACAGGAGCGCCGACTTCTGAGCTTCCCCTGGGTCCACACCCTCCACCCCCAGGTCACGGAAGTCCCTCCTCCAAGTACCTAAGAAGGCTTTTACCTGCTTTTGGTGAGTGGGGTTCCAGGAAAGCTGAGATCCCCTTCTGACTGTCTTGCTGTCCCAGCCTGCCTCTGCCCCCCATCCTTTCCTGGGTAACCTGGCTCCTGGGTTCTCTGTCAGCAAGTCAGGCCCAGGACTTTCTCCGCTAAGACAAGCAGCCTGCAAGAGAGAGATCCTAGGGTGTGGAGCTGGAGGACTGGGTTTTGAGAAGCTCTTAACTAGCTGTGTGACCTTGGGCAAGTCATAGAACTCTCTGGGACTCCATTCCCTTGGCTGTTAAAATGATCAGAAATTCTTAACCTCTGTTAGGTCAGCAGGTTGCTGAAGCCTATGCAAAACCATGTTACATCTGTTTTATTCATGAAGGAGGAGATGCTAAATCCCAGTAACAGATTAGTAAAATGTTTTATTTTTTCTGTTCAAATTTCTAGACCCCCTAGCCCCTGACATCTTTCCACAGTCCCCCAGAGGTCTGAGGCTCCAAGGAAAGAACTCCTGCACTAGATGGGTGATCTACACGGTCCCCACCAGCTTTAAGTCTTACAACCCCCTGGTTCTAATTCCTAAAGCTTCCCTGTTCGCTGGGCCACCGCAGGTCCAAAGTGCTGGGCCTTGGCTTTCTTGATGTTCAGCTCTCCTGGCTGGTCCCTGACCCAATGAACAGAGGCCCTGTCCCGGTCATTGTCATCTCCTCCTTTCCTTTCTCAGTCCCTTTCCAAACACTCCAGGATCCCAAAAGGAGTTTTTGGTTGTCATTTTTGTCTGTCTTGGTTTCCAGGGAAAAGATGGCGCAGCTTCCAAAATAATAACTCGGGGGCAAGATGGTTGGAAGTATGAGAGGAGCCTGCAAGTGACCCCAGGGGCATCAGAAAGACTCATTACTGACCGCGACTACGTGTTGAGGACAAGAGACAACAGACGGATGGCTGCAGTGTCAGCCTGGGACTGACCCCAAGATACGGAAAAGGTCAAAGGAAGGCCCTGATGGGAAGACGAGGACGAGAATCACACTGAACAGCAGGGCAGGGAGGAAAGACCCACACCAGAGAGATCATGGCTCCACTAAAGCTCTAATACTCTGGAAGACCTCCGTTGCGCAATTTAATTTATCCAGTTTTAAACTTAAGTTCCCTAGGGTTTAGCTTGCCTCCCTCCCTGCACCCCATGGCAGAGGGCTCCCTTGGGCCCTCAAAGAGGATGGCTTCTTCCCATCCCACAATCTCCCTCATTCACCCTCACCCCAAAGTGGGCTCTAGAGGATTTCAAGCTAAAAGAGACATGATAAATCATCCAATTAAAACCCTTTCCTTTTACTGAGAAGCAAACTGAGGTTAGAAGTCACTGAGATGGTAAGGAACAAGCCAGGATTCGAAGGCCAGGGTCCCCCTCTGAGGATGAAGGTGCAGGGGGCTCACTGACCACCCCCAAAGGGATGCTCCATGCATTAAAAAGGACCACCATCAGCACTGCTGATCCATGCCCCAGAGAAAGGCCTTTTCTGAGGCATTAGGGTCTTCCCCAGACCTCAGTCCCTGCCCCTCAGAAAGCTTACAGCATGTAGACAAGGAAAACGTAACCTGAAGAGGGAGAGGGAATTCCCAGCTGGGGGAGATGAGAGAAGCCTTCCCAGACATGGCTAGGAGGGAGACGGAAGCCGAGGACTCTGAGGGGCTGGAGATGTGGTCAGCACGATGCAGGCTCAGCAGCACATTCAGGTATGTGGGGCTTGGGGGGCATCTTGGAATCCAGAAGTATCAAATGAATGGAACGTGTCTGCAGGGCCCAGGCCCCTTTATGAGCAGAGGAGTGGCACGGGCAGATCTGTACCTTTAAAGAAAATGATTTTTGCAGCTGTGTGAAGAATGAATAAGAGCCCATTGCGGTGAAGCAGGGAAGAGGTGATGAGGGCCTGATCTAGCAGGGCGCTCACATGAGGAGAGAGAAGTGGATCGATATGAGGCGTTGCGGAGGTAGAATCAATAAGACTCATGGACTAACTGGATGGGGGGCCTTGAGGTAGAGGGAAGAGTCGCAGATGACTCTTGGGGTCACAAATGTGGGTGGCTAGAAAGATGATGGGACAGTGGGCCTAAGGGGAAGAAAATGAGTTGTTCTTCGGACGTGTCAGAACTCAAAGAGACTTGTGGGATTACACAGGCTACCGCCCTAGAGAGCCTGCAGTCCCGCCCTGAGGGGAGAAAGCTGGGAGGTGATCCCTGAAGCCCAGTCTGGGGCTCTTTTCCCTCCACCACAAGAGCATCTTTGGCACAGAAATGGAGAGATTTCAATATGACCCAGAAGAGGAGTACGTAAAGAACCTGGCAACGGGCTCCAAAGCAGAAGGAGAGATTCCGTGAGAACCTCTGAGGCAGGGGGATGCGGATCACATCAGGAGAGGGGCTGCCCCGGAGGAAAGGTGGAGACTCCTTTCTTCACTTGACCATCCCCACTGCCCGCTTTTGTTGGGAAGCAGCTGGGTGAGAGTTAACGGAGATCACACAGTGCTAAGTGTGTAGGATTCTTCTAGACCAAACCGGGCCTGCTTACTGGAGAGGAATGAGGAAAGAAGGACCCCGAAGGAACCCCAGGGTCGAATGACAAAGCTGGCTGCCACTGAAGGACACACGTGGCTTGTCATCTGTCCCCCACTCACAAGAGAAGAAGGGCAGCAGGGGCTTTACGGCTCTGACTTCTCCCAAGAAACAGTCTAATAAGCCAAAGAGAAATCACGGCAGCACAGATTGACACCTGGAAGGGACAGATGAGGTCATCCTGACACCCACAGCCCATTTTACAGATACGGGAACTGAGGCCCAGTGAGGAAGCAGCTGGCCTGAGGCTAGACAGGCAGTGAGCCACAGAGCTGGGTCAGGAAGCTCGATTCTTTCACTCCATGCACGGCAGATTCATTCCTTATTGTCTCAGACTTAGTGCTCTGCCGGGGAGACACCCCGCCATCCACTCTCGCACTTGAGTCTAGCCCTGGAGGGACAGCGGTGCCTTTCTAGGAGCACGTTCTCTGCGCCACTGTCAGAGTGAATGAGTGCTGGCTAGCGGGGGTGGCAGGCCTGTCTCACGCTCTGAATCCTGCAGAAAATGAACACCAGCAGCAAGGGACCAGATCACTTTAAAATAACTGCATCCTTTAATGGCAGTAATACAATTATTGGAGATGAAGGGACCACAGGAGAAAGGCGCGAATGACATTTCCTGGAAGACAGATGTGGGGTACAAAAAGGGGAGTGGGGTAGGCGGACTGAAGGAGAGCCATGCGACCATAATTGTAAAAATACAGTGCGGTATATACATATTTGCATCATCAATGTCAACTCTGAAATATTATTTACACTTTTATTACAATCTTGGTTAGAGAACGATTTTCCTTAAAAGCTCTAGTCTGATGGGAAAAACTATGAGCAAATTAGAGCTCTGGGAGGTTCTTATCCCATTTCTAGGTCCTCAAGAGATTTCCTTTAAAAAATTATTTTAGTTTTACAAAAAAAAAAATCCCAACAAAAAACACCATATCTTGCATATTTTACAAATGCCATGGGAAATGGCCCTTTGGGGGAGGGAAGGGGGGCAATCTCACTCCTGATCGTGTCCCCCGCCCCCAAACACCTGATCAACAACAGCACAAGGGCCCCAGAAGGGGTGCAGTGGCCTCACACCCCTCAAGGAGAGAGGGAAGCCACATGCCAAGGGAGGCAGTTTGTACATTATTTATGGAGACAGCAATGCTTAAAAGAGCCAGCAGGCTGGGGAGGGGAGCAGGAGGTGGGTGCCAGGGGACACCAATAGAACAAGCAGAGTCTATGTTAAAAAGACTGCTTCTTAGCCTGGCTGGGGGAAGGAGGAAGAGCACACAGGACAGCTTCCAAATGAAACTGAGTTTTCCTCAACTTTTCAAACTAAAATTCTCCTAGAGAAGTGGGGCCATTACATGGCAGTGGCCAGCCAAAGAGAGACAGGACACAAACACACAAGGTGTCTCAGAAGGCCTGTCCTGTCCTCTTCAAGCGTGGTGACCTGCCTCTGGCTGAGGGGGCAGCCAGCATGCCCCTCACCCCCAGGGCCCACCCCGGCAAACCCTGCCGCCAGAGCAGGATCCCCGCCCAGCCTCGTTTCCCCTTGCCCTCTGATTCCCACCTGCCCTGATTCCTCTACGTGTCTGGGGATCCACTATCACAACTTTGGCTCTGAAGCCCCAAACTCACCAGGGTTTCATGGTACAGAATTTAAAAGAAGGCATGAAACAGAAGAATGACAAAAGCAAAAACCTTCTTGAAAGAAAAAAGCTGGGGACTTTTTTTCTTGAACGGTTTGTCCCCACCAAGGAAGTGGGAATAAGGAAGAGGAACAGAAGGCAGTAGGGGTGTGAGCAGGGGTCCGGCCCAGCCCAGGGGGGAACAGGGCAGGGGAGGCCCACAAGCCCTCCAGAGCCAGACTACTTAACGGACAGGCTGAGGCTGCCTGTGCTCCAAGCCCTTGAGCCTGCTCCCCACAGGCTGCTGAGATAAACTCTGGACAAGGGCAAGGGGAGACCCTGGGGAGTGGCCTGGGGACCCCTGCCCCCACCACCCACCCTCACTCCCTCGTCTGCACTTGCCAGTGACCCTGGGGCCGTGGGGCTGCTCTCAGAGGTTCTCTAGCTCACCCCTTCCCCATCCTGGTCCTGGTCCCCGGGGGCTTCCCTCCAGCTCTGACTCACCATGAGCCACACTCCAGTGTGCCCCGGGCCCTGAGAATAGGACAGTGATGGACAAAGGAGCTAGGGTGATTTACATGCACAGAAAGGGACAGAGGACAGGACGGCTACACAACTTGACCAAAACTGCCCCTAGACCCATGGCAACATGGGGCCCAAGATGCACTTTTAAGGGATCTGGGCAGGAGACTTTGATTGTTCAATTAAAAAAAGACATTTTCTAGGAGATAGCCTGTGAGTCATACAGCACTGACCAGAACCAAAGATTTTTATATACAATTTATAGGAACCAAAGAATAAAAAAACCCCAAGCCCTCTCCCCCCATGCCCCCACCCCCAGGCCCCCTCCCCCGACATTCCCAACACTGAATGTGGCCATGAAATACAATCACAGGACGGGGGATGGGGAACGGGGTCCAGGTTAATACTACTGGCAGAAGGGGGATGCAGTGGGGTCAAAGCCTTTAAAAACATCTTTGAGGGACCCGGCATCCTGCTCGCTCTCTCGGGAGGGGCTGTTGCCAGCGAAAGGGCTCCCGGAGCCAGCCTTGGACGCCTGCTTCACGGTCCCAAACAGGGTGGGCACAGGCAAGTTGTGGAGGCCAGGCTGGGGGGCCCCCTCTGGAGAGGGTGCAGCCGAGGGGGCGGTGGCAGGGGTCGGGGTTGCCTTGGGGCGCGGCCGATTATAACTGTTGTACCTGTCCGTGGCCGCGGGCTCCGAGCCTGCCTTGCCCACCTCCGGCTGTTCCAAGGCCGACTTGCGGATGAACGGAGGCTCTCTGGCCTTGGCCGCTGAGCTTTTGCCGTTGCCATCGGGACCCTTGGGCTGGGCGCCCCCTTCGGGGGCCGGCTCGGCCACTTTGCTGCCAGAGTTCGGAGTCCTTGGGTCATAGAGACTGATGCTGCTGAGCACACTGCTCTGCCCGCTCCCACCACCTTGGCTGACCCCCCCAGCCGCCAGGACCCGGGGGTCATAAGGGGCAATAGCCGGAGGCGAGGCCTCGCCAGAGGAAGTGGGGGGTGGCGCAGCTGCCTCAGGAGTGCTGGGCTTGGTGGCGCGGGATGAGGCAGCATCCCCGGGTTTTTGCAGCCGGGGGTCGGCAGGGGCTTTCCGCACTCGGGGGTCACTGGGCTTATCACTCGGACTCGGTGCTGAGGGGCCGGACGCATTGACGGTCTTGAGGATTCGAGAGAGCAACTCAAAATCCGGCAGGCTGGCAGCAGAGGCAGTGGGAGCAGAGCTGGGGTCCGAGGGGGCTGCCCCACGCTGCCGGGGATCTGAGGGCCCAGCGGCAGGGGGCCGGTGGAGGCGGGGATCGAGGGCGGGCAAAGACTGCAGGGCAGCAGGGAGAGAGGTTGCAGAGTCTTGTTTGGGGACAGGGACGGGGATGAGGTCCTCGGGGTTCCAAAGCACAGTGCGAGCAAAGCTGGGCTTGTTCAGGGTCACGTCCTTCTTGATGTGGCTGAACTGCTGGAGCTGTAGCCTAGGATCCCGCAGCGGGGTCCCTGGCAGGGCGTCCAGAGGAATGGTCACCGCTTTTTCCCTCAGAGCCCTCTCCCCTTCTTCTTCTTCCGGGGGCCCAGACCCCTTCCCACCACTGGTACATGCTGGGCTCGGATGGAGTCCGTCAGGCTTGGAGGGGGGAACGGAGCGGGCCAGTCGGGGGTCCGAGAGCCCCGAATCCCCGGAGCCCGAAGGGCCGGGAGCATCAGTGTGACGAGAGCGCCTCGGGTCCCGGGCGAGGCGCGGGTCGGCAGGTCTGCCCCCGGCGGCGGGGCCCTTCTGGAGGCGGGGATCGCCCGCCGTTGGCAGGGGCCCCGCGCCACCGCCTCCCAACTCCCCGCTGGGCGCCGGAGGCCGACCGGAGGTCTGCTGTCTCAGAGTTTTGAGGATGGAGGTTACGCTGCTTCCTCCGTCGTCCTCGTCGCTGGAGTACCAGTTGCCTGTGTCACCTGTGAGAGAAGGACAGACGTCAGCAAGTGGGGTTCGCTGACTCCCTCCCTTTACACTTGCATTTCAGCCAATGTGTGGGTCTCTACGATAACTACCCCCCCCTCGCAGAGGTAACAAACGCCAGCCAGCAGAATAAGGTCCGTGCAGTCCATCGAGTCAAGGGGAAATAGCTGTCCAAAGCCTTCAGCCTGTCTCATGGGCATCTACTCTTGGAATTGTGGGAGGAAGGCGCTCTGTAAATGGCCAAGGGCAGGACTCCACCCGGCCACCTCTAACCTGCTTCCTCAAAGTCCCTCTCTCCCTCTCCCCCGCTCCCCGACACCGACAGCGGCGTCGGGGCTCCCTGCCCAGCTGTGAGTGGGCCTGCCTGATGACAAGCGACTGTGCAAGGGACCGAGGTCAAAAAGCAGTGGTGAGAACCCAAAATCTGTCTCTATCACCCGGGCATCCTCTGAGACCTCTTTGGACCCTAAGTCATACTTTAGCCCTCACCGACTCTTAGGGCTCAGCTGTCTACTGTACAATCTGTGTGAAAGCACCTGACGAAGCACGAGGCTCTCTCCCTGGCTGGCCGGGGTCCTAAGTCTTTGCCCCCATCCACACAGACTGCAGGGCGCTGGCTCTGGCCACGCCACATGAAGGTGTGCTTTGCAAGCAGCCTCCCTCTGGCCCAGGACCCTGAGGGCCAGGGGCCGGGAGGCCCTGGGCCACAAACACACTTGCCTTCCTCATTCTCCCGCTCCTGCTTGCTGCTCTCAGCTAGCCTCCTTGCCCTTTCTTCTTCCTGCTGCTTCTGCTGGATGCGCAGGTATAAGGCCCTCTGGGCAGAGGGGAGGAAGTCAGGGACACTGGTGGCGGGCTGCTGTCTCCCAGGGGGCCCTGCTTCGAGGAAGCCATCAGGCTCCAGGGGCTGCTCTGGGAAAACGTGCTCTCCTGCCTCGCCTTCCATCTCCTCATAATGTCCATAGTCCTCTGCTGGGGGGAATAACCATGGGGCGAATTATTAATCTTTGGGAGGCAGTCAGGAGTTGCATTCCTCGAGGGAGTACCCTCACAGTGAGACCACAGACCCACTGAAGGAGGCCTTGAGGAAGTCAGTTTGAACTCCAAAGCCATTCCTGCCCATGGATTCCCAACCCATGAACTTCCAAGGAGATAAAACAATTGGGTTCTTTCTTCCCTACTCCTGACCAGAAAGTCTACTCCCTTGTGCAGCTTTACGAGAAGCGCATATACACGCTTTGGTGGCAATGAGGGAGAAGAGAGGCGTCCCCTAACTCTAACTGTCCAAGAACAGGTCACAGCAGGGAGGGGCAGCCAGGATTACTTGGACAGATGCTGCTAATGCTTTAGAAGAGTTGCATCAGCACGGGAGGGAGTGCCGTAAGCAGCTGGATCCAGAGACCGCTGAATGAGAGCGCACCCAGGCATTCGTATAAAGAGCTTTCTCCTCTGCACGTAGAGAAAGAATGTTTTCTTCCTTTGGGACTCACTTTAAATTGAAAAATCATTTGGGAACTGTAAGAACAGGTTGTACTCATGGAATAAACTGGAAAAAGAAAGTAATGGCTAGGTTATTTCTAACAGATCTCCTTAACACTGCCGCCTCTGACTCTAGGACAGAGCACGGGGCCAAGCGTCCGGGATGCGCTTAACAAATGCTTACTAAGTGCTTTTGGCTTGTTAAAAATAATACACATTTCACATTTAAGACTGAAATAGTTAAACTTCAAACAGACATGCTTGTTTTGCTCCAAGAATTCTATCTCTATGTTGTACAAGGAAAGTGTTGAGAATAAGCAGATTGTTCGTGTTGAAGAAAACAGATTAGATGCCTGTTTTGGGGTGGCTGCGGTCCTAGTAAGTGTGGCAAAATCACCTGGCATGAGTGTACTGAGCCAGTCCATTTCTGGGGAGTGAATTAACTAATCCTTGCTCCCTCACCACAGGAAGGGCGAGAGGCGCCACCCACAAGTAAACCTGCAGCAGCCTCAGAGTCAAGCAGCCGGCATGTATATTAACCATCGAGCAAACAAGAAAGAGCTTTCCATGGAGAAGTGACGAGGAAAAGAAAAGAAAGCAAAGCCCCAAGACTGCAGACTACCACAGGCACAAAATCTGAATAGATGCACAGAAAAAGGCTGTTACGATATTACAGGAGTTACTTTAAGAACTGTAATGGAGACATGCAAGCGAAAGGCTCCAATGTGCAATCACCTCTCGGCTCTTCTGGAGTTTGTTAGTGGATATTAAGATGTTAAAGCCAGAAAAGGTCTCCCTTCCCAATGATTCAAACCAAATGGAAGCCTCCCTTGCAGGTTTCCCCAGAGCCTAGCTGCCAATCCCCATCTCAGGAAAGCACGTACCTGCCTCCCCCATTAGTCCAGGGTCCATCTCCATGCCCTCCTGCTGCTGGTAAAAGTTTTCATAGAAGTTCTGGGCTGGTGGAACAGGGGGCATCATTCCGGAATGTGGGGAGTCTCCAGGACCATAGGGCATCATTGGTGGGCCCCCAGGACCCATGGGGGGGCCAGGATTCATCCCAGGGCCCATTGGCATGTCCGGGTGCATGTCGGGATGCATGTCCGGGTGCATGTCAGGATGCATGTCCGGGTGCATGTCGGGATGCATGTCCGGGTGCATGTCGGGATGCATGTCAGGATGCATTGGTCCTGGCATGGGCCCAGGGGGTCCCATGTTGGGCCCAGGCCCCATTGGCCCAGGGGGCCCCCCAGGCCCAGGGAATCTGGGGGGAGGTGGAGCAGGGTGTCTAAAAGAAAACACAAAATGGGATTTTGATTCTACTAACTTCCTACGTTACTTGACTTCTCTCTCTGGCTTCAAGAAGCTCATCTAGTTTGTGAGTGGTGTCAAGGACACCAGGGTCCCAGGCTGCACCCTCCACCCAGAGCTCTCACTTCCCCAACAGCCCACCTCTGGCTCAACACTCACCTCACCCCCAGCTTCTCAGCCAGCTGCCCCGTGGGCCGAACCACGATCTCAAACAGCGATGGAATCTTCTTGTTGTACATGTCCTGCTGCTGCTGAAGCTGCTGGGGAGAGAGGGGCTCGTGCGACGGCACGGGCATAGGCATCTGGGGGGGCCCAGGAGGCGGGGGTGGAGGTGGAGGCGGGGGGCCTCCAGGCATGGGCCTGCCATTGGGAGATGTCGGAGCCGGAGGCACGGGGGGACGTGGCGGGGTGGGCAAGAGGCCGACTCCTGGTGGAGGCTTGGGTAGAGGATTGATGCCTTGTTTTTTCAATTCTTCCACTTCCTTCTCATCTTCCGCACCTGCTTCTGCATCGTCTGCTAACATCTAACAAGGAGAGATGGAAATCGGGCATGAGGGTAAAACTGAAGGGGAAATGACCGGAGAGGGGCAGAAGTGGCAGCGTTTAATAAGGTATTTTCTTGAGATAAAACCTGAATCTAGTCAAGAGGCCACGGTTCCCCAGAATTCACCCTGATATGAGAGACACCTGCCCTGACTTAAGGGAGAAAAGACCAAAACTGTGGAGAAATGAAGGCATGCTACGTGAATGAAGAACCAGCAGACAAAAACAAGGGAAGCACTTTACACCAAGCTGTTTGGTGCCCCAGGACCCCAGAGAGCAGGCATGTGAGGATCAGACTGGGGAGATGGGGAGAAGCCGGGGGCCCCCTGCATCACAGTCCTTCCCGAACACCACTCAGTGACCAAGCGGCATTCCTTCGCTTGGTCTTTCAGGCCAAGGCAGTCTGTGGCTCCTACTTCTCTTTCTACTCCTCTCCCCTCTTGCCAAACCACTCCCTTGAGGTCTCCTCTGGCTGGGGTGACCCACTGAGCAGCAGGGATTAAGTCCCTGCTGTGTGCCAGGCACTATCAGGTGCTAAGGAGATGCAAAGACAAAACCAAACTGTCCCTGCTCTCTACCTTGGGAAACAACCCCCACGCCTGCGAAGGAACACAAAACATACACACAGGAGGTGGAAAGCACTGGCAGCTTAGGGAGACAGGGGAGGAAGCAAGGACAAAGACGGGACACTGGGAGTCCAATGAGGAGGCTATGGAATAGTCCAGGCAAGGCGTGACAAGGGTCTGAAAGGGGTGGCTGGCTACTGTGCTGTGGAGGCAGGAACAGATTTGAAACCGTTGCAAGATATAAACTAATTCCACAAAAATCATCAGCATCTCTGTAAATTACCAACAAAACCAAACAGGAAGAGACTGGAAGAGAAAACTGCATTTAAAATAAATTCAGAATGCATCAAACATTGCCAAGTCTACCTGCCAAGAGTCCCACAAGAACGATATAAATACAACTACACAACGCTCTTTACTGAAATGAAGACAGACATAAACAATTGGGAAAATATCCATTGTTCGAGGACAGACTGAGCCAAGATAATAAAAGAACAATGTTAACTACTTAATTTACTTATTTAAGGCCATGCCAAATGACTAACAAATTAAATAACTTAAAAGAGTGGTAACAAAAGTCATCTAGAGGAACAAAAAGGTCAAGAAACTCAGGGGAAATAGTTAAAAAAAAATGTGGGGAGGAAAGGGAACCTAGCAGTATCAAAAGGAGTACAAAGCAGTACCTGCCACAACAATCGGGTGCTACCTAAAAAACAAAGTCAATCGGTGGAACAGATTAGATACAGAAGCAAGGTGCACACCCTCTGACCAGCCATAGCACTTCTGGGGCTGTATCCCCGAGATCACCCAGATGGGAAAAGGAGCCACATGTACAAAAATATTCACAGCAGTTCTTTTTGTGGGGGCAAAGAATTGGAAACTGAGAGGCTGCCCATCAATTGGGGAACGGCTGAGCAAGTTGTGGTATATACGAATGTAATGGAATACTACTGTGCTATAAGAAATGATGAACAGGCTGACTTCAGAAAAACCCGGAAAGACTTGTATGAACTGATGCCGAGTGAAGTGAGCAGACCCAGGAGAACGTTGCACACAGTAACAGCCATGGTGTGCAATGACTGACTTTGATAGACTCAGCCCTTTTCAGCAATGCAAGGATCTAAGACATTTCCAAAGGCCTCATGATGGAAAATGCTATCCACATCCAAAGAAGGAACTACGGAGTTTGAATGCAAATTGAAGCATACTATTTGCTATTTTTTTTCTTCTGTTGTGTCTTGTTTCCTCTTTCTGGTGGTTCCTCCTATTGGTTCTAATTCTTCCTTACAACATGACTAATACGAAAATATGTTTAACAGGAAGGTACATGTAAAGTCTCTGTCAGATTGCATGCCATCTTGGGGAGGGAGTGGGGAAAGGAGGGGGAGAAAAATTTAAAATTCAAAAGCTTATGGAAGTGATTGTTGGTAAATCAAAACAAATTTAAAATTAAAAAAAAAAACATACAGAAGCAAACAAACCTAGAGGCCTAATGTCTGACTAGTAATAATTATTATTATGATCGTAATTAGAGTTATTTGATGATAAATGTAACTTGTTATCATATACTGTTTCATATAATAATTCATGTAACAAGTTATTTGTTAATTATTAAATATAATGATAAATTATTTTTATTATTTATTTATCATTAGTACATACCATACAGAAGCAAACAAACCTAATGTTCTAATATTTTAAACTCAAAAGATTCCAGCTACTAGGGTATAAAGAATGTATTATTTGAGAAAAAAACTGTTGCAAAAAATTAGATTGCAATCTGGCAGAAACAAGGTATAAACCAACATCTCACACCACATACCAAGAGAAGCTCTATACGGGTATATAATTAAGCAATAGAGGGTGACATCATAAACAAAGCAAGTAAGAAATTACCTTTCAGATCCATGGATAAGAAAAGAGCTAATGACCAAAATAAGGATGGAAAAGATCACCAAAAACATAAATAAAAATAAATGGATAATACTGACTATATAAAATTTAGAAGTTTTGCGCAAACAAAACTAATGTGGCTAAAATTAGAGGGGAAGGGGGCAGCTAGATGGCACAGTGGATACAGCACCAGCCCTGAAGTCAGGAGGACCTGAGTTCAAATACGACCTTAGATCAAACACTTGACACTTACTAGCTGTGTGACCCTGGGCAAGTCACTTAACCCCAACTGCCTAAAATAAATAAATAAACAAACAAACAAACAAACAAATAAATAAATTAGAGGGGAAGCAGGGAACCACAAAAAATTTTTGGCAGCAAGTTTCTCTGATAAAGGTCTCATTAGTAAATAAACAGGGAAATGATTCAAATTATAAGAGTCATTCTCTAATTGATAAATAGTCAAAGGACAGGAATAGGCATTTTCCTCTGGTTCTATCTTACATCCATCAAATTGACAAAGATGACAAAAAGAAGAAAATGACAAATGTTGGAGGGGCTGTAGGAAAACACATATATTAATTCTACTTTTGCCTATGGGGTCAATGAGCTCATTTGGTAAGTGAGTAGTGTCAAAGTAACCAAATCCACAGCCTAGACCGTATGGATGGGGAGAATGCTGCCTCAACATCCCAGGGTTGGTGGAAGTGTGAATTGGTACAGCCGTTCTGGAAAATAATGCCCAAAAAGTTACTGAACTATGCAAACCCTTTGACCCAATAGTACCACTAACTAGACCTAAACCTCAGGAATCAAAGGAAAAAGAAAAGGACAGACACAGATAACAATATTATAGCAGGTGTTTTTGTTTTTTAAATGATGTTATAGAACTAGAAACTAAGAGGGTGTCCATCAACTGGGGAATGGCTAAGCAAACTGGAACATAGAAAAGTAATGAAAATTTTTTATACCATAAGACATGGGGAAAGGGACAGTTTCAAAGGAACCTGGGAAGATTTGTATCAACTGATACAAGTTGAACTGAGCAGAATCAAGAGAACGATTTATAACAATAGCTGTAAAGATAATTTGGAAGACTTAAGAATTCTAATCCATGCAATAATTAGCCACAATTCCAGAGGACCCATGATAAAGAATGCTACCCATCTCTTGCAAGGGAGGTGAGAGACAAAGGGTATAGATTGAAACATATTTTGGGGATATGGCCAATTTGGGAATTTATTTTGACTATTCATATGTGTTACAAGGGTTCATTTTTCTTTCTTTTCTTTTTTTTCCAATGGGAAGGGGAGGTAGAAGGGATAGAAAATAGATTTTTAATTTTAAAAAGTGAAATTAAATTTCTTTAAAATGACAAGATTTGAAAACTTTTTTTATGTGACGGGCAAGGGAAGAGTAAAGAATATGGAATGATTTTAAGGCTGTGAGTTTAGGTGACTCAATGATGGTGATGGCCCCATTCAGAAAGAGGGAAGTTCAGAAGATGGAAGGATTTGGGGAGAAAAGGAATGAGTTCTGTTTCAGACATGATGAATCCAAACGGAAATGCCCAATAACCAAATAGTGAAGCAGAACTGGAGCTCAGTAGCAGATTTAATAGTGGTGGCCTCTGAGAGAGGCCTTCGAGGAAGAGAGGGTTTCTGTAGGCAAATATACACAGGGAGGAAGATCCCAGGAAGAAGGGAATGACGCGAACAAAGGCATGGAAGCAGGGAGGCCTGTGCAGAGTTCCATGAGCAGGCCAGGACTGCTCCTGGTCTAGGAAGACTAACTTTTTCTAGTTGAGGCATGAATGGCTTGCCTCTTAGTTCCTTCTTTTGAATTTAAATTTCCTTTTAAATTCCAAAGGACCCTTGATGAAAGATGCCAAGGAGAGAACTGATGAACTCTGAATATAGACTGAAGCATACTTTTTTAAAAAACTCTCTTCCGTTTTTATTGTTTTATTTTATTTGTGTTTTCTTTTGCAAAAGACTTCACATGTATAATCGGTATGAAACTGCTTGCCTTCTCAAGGAAGGGAAAGAATTTGCAACTCAAATTTTTAAAAAATGATTGTTTGATCTTTTTACCTCTAATTGGGAAATATTTAACAAAATAAATTTTAAAATTTAAAAATAAATAAAGCCTGCTTCAAGGATCTACCCACTGACTTTAAAGATTCTACTTGGCTGAGTTTTCTACTGGGGCAGGGCACTTTTTAATAAATTTTAATTTTTTTCCTTAACTCAAGTGTGAACCTAGGATGAAAGAAATTGTCTGTACTACTGCAGTGAAAACAACAAGATCCACCCCACTTGTCAGAGTTATTTTGGGTCTGGAGCAGGGCCTGTGGGGTTCTGTAAGATGGAAGATCACTAAGGGCCCTACTCTGTAGAATCCTGCTCCCAGGAGCTGAAACAATTGCTCTTTGCCTCTTGGTCACACAGAAGGTGGCTGGGGGCTCCACTGTGATGAAACCACTCCTCCTGGAGGTGCTGAAGGATAGTAAAGGGCTAGCCTGCCGCCCCAGCAGAGAACACTATTCTAAAATAAGATGACACTAGAGGCTCTTAAGGAGCTGTGAATCCATGCAATCCGTGACAAGCGCTCTCTGCTGCCCAGCCCCTGGACCGCTCCCTCTTGCTGAGGTGGCACTAGGAATAACTACCACCTGGAAAGCCTGGTAGTACTGTGAGCCATCATCCTAACAGTGATCATCTAGAGCAGGCCTGTACAACCTGCCGCCCGAAAGCCTTTGGCATGCCACAAGTGCCCCGAGGGCTGCAAGTTGTGCAGGCCTGAGCTAGAGAAAGGATAGTTTATATTGTTGGTAAAGCTGAGGAGCTGGTTCTAACCAGTTCAGAGAACACAGACCTTTCCATTTCCAAAGATGTCTTTTAACTTTACTACCAAAACACACCCAAGTAAAGGCCGATCTTGTACAAATATCCACTGTTAACCCTTTGCCAGGCACTGAGCCAAGTGTTGGGGATACAAGAGAAAGGACACAGATGGCCCCTGTCCTCGAGGTGCCCTAACATGGGGTACACAAGACAAGCACCGAGGAGACTGCCCTCGGGGCTGGGGAGAGTCAGCAGCAGAGACCTGCTTGTGCCCTCGTTACAGCTCTAGATTCTTCACAAAATCGCTACAGTTTCTGGCCCTTTTCAATGGCTGATTGGAAACTGATTTGGATTCATCACCATTTCACCTCTTCCCCAACCAAGTAGTCTCCCTGCCGCCAGTTGTTATGATGATCTTTCCAAAGATGAGATCTGACTGCGTCATTCCCCCTATTCAATAAATTCCAGTGGATGGATGGCAGAGGCCAGGGTCCCCGGATGACAGGTTAGGAAGGGCTAGGAACCATTCTCTCCAGCTGTTCCCCAGGCCCGAATGCTCTCCCTCCTCATATTTCTGGCTTCCTTCCAGTCCCAGCTCCAACCCCTGTCTCTAGGAAGCCTTTCCTGCTTCCACTCCCAACCCCCTTACTGCTAATACCTTCCCTCAGTAAATTTATCTCATATGAATCTTGTTCGTCCATAGATGTTAGCCTGTTGTCTTCCCTATGAGACTGAGCTCCCCGAGGGCAGGGACTTTCACCTTTCTTTGTACCTCCTGCACTTGGGAGAACACCTAACACAAAGAAGGCACTTCATAAATGTTTACTGACTCCCCCCACCCTTTCCCCCAGCTGCCCCATGCTCTAAAGCAAGCCATCACAGCACCGCCTAGGCTCCAAGCTTCCAATTCCAACAATGGGTCATCAAAGGGTCCATTTCTAGACCACAGTCCTCCTGGTTTCTTAGCTGGCCAGCCTCTGAAGTCAGTCCCACCCCATGTTTACCTTGTCCAAAAGCTCCCTTGTCTCTTCGGTGAGGGGGTCATGGGAGAACATGCAGTCATCACCATTGATACAGTTTCCAGTTGTATGAAAGAGCTTACAAGGAAAATCACGTTTGCAAAGGTCAAGGCAAAGTTCTCTGATGTCTGAACCAGAAGGGGCAGGCAGAGGAGCTGGTCTGATCAGCACCTTCCTCAGAAGAGGAGAGAATGGGTCAGAGAAGAAAAGGGTCTCCCTGCAGGCTGCCAGTCCAACAAGCTTCCCCGTGCCCGCATGCCCTCAGCAAAGCTGCAGGGCTGCCTTGGTCCCGCCGCCTGGCAATTCAGAGGCCACCTAGCAGAGCACTGTGTGGGGAAGCAGCAGCAATCACTCCCAAGAAGGAGGATCGCACACTGGGGCTGCCTCCCAGCCTTGGGCGAGCCAGGCCTTGGGCACCAGCCATCCCTCCCTCCCTCTCACAGGGAAGTGTAAGGGCAGGTCTTGATAAACGTTCAAGAACAGGAGGGGAAAGAGGAGAAAGCAGAGGAGTGAGAGGAGCAAGCTCCCCTTCCTGGTATCATCAGGGCCTGGGGCCTCAGGAGGGGCACAGCCCCCAACAACCAGAGGTCAAAGGATATCATGCATGTATGGGCAGTTCTCTGCTCTGGCACAAAAGCCGGTGATGTAAAACTTGCACAGCTCGCGCTTCTTTGGCAGCTCGATATCGTGGCTAAAATTGCAATGTTCTCCCTGCAGGACACAGAATGACAGCGCGCCCGTGTGCGCAGCGTGAGGGGTGCTCTCCGCCCCGGCCCACCCGCTCCTGACAGCTCCTCCATTCAGGAGGCCCTTGGCCGAGACTCACAGCCCCGACGCCAACATTAGGAGACACGAGGTCTGTGGGCAGAAGTGTGCATGGTCTGGCCCGCCCCATCCCCCACGCCCATTCTGCTGGAGGGGCCCTGACTTACCCACGTGCACCGGCCTTCCACAAAGTACTTGCAGATGACTTTCCCCTTCTTGTCCGACTGCTGGTGGGGCTTGTCGTGGTCATTCCTCCGATAGCTGCCACCACCACCACTGTCCTGTTAGAGCCACAGGGAAGTCAGCACAGGGGAGACTAGCAGAGCAAAGAACCAGAGGTCCCAGCTCCTCCTGGCCCCGGCTCTGTGCTAGGACGAGGCTCCCCCTTCCCAGATATACCAAAGCGTCACCAAGGTAACTGGGAAACTCCTCAGCATAAAGGAGATGGGATAGTCTCAGTGTGACTGCATGCACGCCAGGTACTGTGGCAGCAGGTCACCCGGGGGGCAGCGCCTGCTGTTCTCACCAGGCCTACTGAAAGCCCACTCACCCCCATGTCGTCGTCATAGAACTCTTCATCATCATTCATGCCTCCTTTGCATGCCTCCCCTGCTCCCGCCTCGACCGCGTCCTCGTCCCATCCCCTTGCCTCTGCCTCTCGAGCCTCTGCCTCGGCCCCGACTTAAACCTTCAGGAGAGAAGGACCAACCGACCACCTATGCATCTCCTCCACCCCACGGGCCGCCCCACCCTCACCCTCGATGCCAACCCAGGCACCACCGCGTACCTCGCCCTCGGCCATCTTTTGGTCGGCGGTACTGGTTCAAGTCTTTGGAGTACTCATCATAATCCTCTTCGCCCATCAGCTCCTCATTCTCTCCAAACTAGAATTCAGAAGGATGAGACGTTTGCACGGGCAGGCAAGCTGGTCATCTGTGTCCTCCCCAGCAGCCACAGACACACCCCAGGTGCCACCCGCATCCAGCATCCCCCCAGAATGACACCCAGTGTCAGGTGCTTTCTCTTTTTCTCTACACACAAACCACAGGCCGAACCTTCCCATTGTCTCTGCACTTTAATTCCTTTTCAAAACAGCACATAATGTTTAGCATGCAAACAAGTTAGTTTCAGATCAAATGTGATATAGAAAAGTGTGGGTTCGTGTGCTCTCTATTAGAACCATATGCAGTAGAGAGTGTTGGAGGCAGAAGGGGCACTAGAATTCTTGACACACAAACACACAATCGGGAACAACCCAGGAAACAACCCGTACCTCCATCTCCTCCTCATAGAAGTCTTCTTCCTCTTCCGGATGGTCTCCCATGGAGCCCCTGCCTCTTCCCCGGTTTCCTCGGCCCATTCCTCTCCCTCGTGACCCTCCGCGGCCTCCTCGGCCTCGATAACCTCTCCCTCTGACCCTGGCTCCTGCAAGACGATTAATAAAATTACGTGACGTGAGCACGAGAAAGGCTGAGGATGTGGAATGCTGCTTATGCTGGCAGACTTAGCTGTTGTGTGCTCAGTCTTTCTAAACTGCTTTCCTCCTTTTTAATTCTCTGTTACAGGAGATGGCTCGATGCGCAGGGGCATGGGAAGGCTAGGCAATGTAGGAAAACAGTAAGCCCTACACAGGCATCCCTGCCCCCTGGAGATCCCTCTGGAGCAAAACGAGAAAGCAAGGTCGCGGGGGGGGGGGGCTAGGCCGAGGGCCGCATCGCCTTTTCGGCAGCTTCCCTGGGGGAGGAGGAGGAGCTGGTGGACAATCCACCACCTCTCCCTGAGGAAGGCTGCTGTGCCCTGGTCTACACTGTCCAGCAGAGGCCCTTCCTTAGGATGGACTGTACATTCTGGAACAGCTCACCTCGCCCTCGGCTGCTGCCCTCCTTGGCCCGTCTGTACTGGTTCAGCTCTTTAGTGAAGTCATCATACTCTTCTTTCACGAGATCTTCCTCCTCCTCCCCTTCATACTCCCCATACTGCTCATTCTCATAGTCATCGTACATGCTATAATTCTTGCTCTCCATTTTTGAGTAGCCCTTTTTCGACAAAGGGGCACTGTGCGATGAAGGATACTGCTGGTGAGACTAGAGGACCCAAGGAAACAAGGAAAGACAAGCTGAACCGGCCTGGTCCACTCCCCCCCACTGCGTCGTCGTCACCTAGTACTCGTTTCTCTTACGCTGACGGGGAAGCTGACCACAGGGGCCACCGAGTGCATGACAGAGCCGGGCCGTGGCTTGTCCCACTGTGACATCCATGCCTCCTCTGCCTGGAGTGAAGCCCCGCCACTGCCTCCACAGCCTCTGAGACACTTGGGGAAGGGTCTACCAACAGTGCGTGTTTGGGACCTGAACCTGAAAAACGTAGGCCACCCTCTGGAACCTCATGCTACAAGTCTAGTAGGAACTCTGAGCAACACAATGACCAATCACAATGCCAGAGGACTTGACCCTCTACCATGAACTCGGGACGTCAATGGAGGTATTCTTAGGGAGGTGGCCAATGTGGGAATCTGTTAGAGGGGTTTGGTTTTTCTTGCTTTCTTTTTTTTTTTTTTTTTGGTGAGGCAATTGGGGTTAAGTGCCTTGCCCAGGGTCACACAGCTATTAAGTGTCAAGTGTTTGGTCTGAGGCCAGTTTTGGACTCAGGTCCTCCTGACTTCAGGGCTGGTGCTCTGTCCACTGCGCCACGTAGCTGCCCCTTTGCTTCTCAATGAAGAGAAGGAGGGAAATAAGAAAAAGAGAATGTGGATCTGAAAATTAAATTAAATTTAAAAAAAAAGCCATATCTAACTCCAACAATACCAGCATAAGTCAAGTAACTACAGAATCTTTCATGGACTTAACTTCCTGTTTATAATGGAAGCTTCCCAATTTACAAAGCCTTGTACACCATATGCCACAATAAATTTCAAAAGGATCAACCTAGATATTAAAACAAAAACAAAAATATTAAAAAAATTAAGAGGATATGGGGTTATCTGTTAACTGTGAAAAGGAGATAAATTCCTAGCAAGTTGTAACTGAGGGCAAATTAGAAGAGATGAAAGACTAATTTGATAATACAAAAAGAAAAAGCTTTTTTACACAATAAAAAAACTATACAAAGAAAGATGGGAAGAAAAACTGGGGGAAAACCTTTCACTCAAGCATTCTGATAAAAGGCTAATGACATCCTAAATTAGGATGTGAAAAGATGGCTGAGAAATCAACTTCTACTCTTAATGCAGGTGCCACACTTCACGCTGCCTAACTAATGAAGACCTCATGAAGCAAGCAGGACAAAAAAATAATTTTATCCCCATTTTATAGAACACTGAAATAACAACCCCCTTTTACACAGCACTTTAAGTGCAAAGCACTCCACATGCATTATCTCATTTCTGCCTTGCAACAACCCTATGAGACAGGTGCTTCAGACATTGGTATCTTAATTTTGCAAAGGAGGAAACTGAGGCTCATAAAGATTAAGGGGCTTGTCCACAGTCAGACAGCTCATGTCACTCCCAAGAGCTGCACTCAAGTCTTCTAAACCCAAGTTAAATGAGCTACTGCATATAAAGGGCTTTACCAGCCTTGGAGGCATGGATGAGTGTTCACTCTCTTTATCTCATCAACGACTCCATCAGGCCACAGGCAGGCTGAGGGACCTGCCTAGCTTATGGGGATACACAGCTGTGTATCAGCTGTCTGTGTCATGGCTGGGATTGTAACTTGGATTACTATGACACCACACTGGAAGGTGTCCTAGCCTAATCTCTTATGACCCATTTCCAGAACACGGGAACAGTGAGATATCTACTTCTTCTCAAAAAGTTATTTGACTTGGTTTCGGGTTTGGAGAGAGAAGGTAGGGGAATTCCTTTTCTAAGGAGGAAAAAACCTATCCAAAAGTAATTTAAATGTCTGCCAAACTCAAAGATGGGATGGGGATTTCACTTCTGATACATAAAAAATTTCTAACTAGGTTTCAAAGGCCACATACTGACTTTTGGAATCAATCCCTAAATTTTGAGGGAGAACCTGCCAATGAGAACACCCACAAATACTTCTGGGTAATATGATACCACCCTGCTGGGACCACATACAACTGGGTGCCTTGCTCCCTGAGCCAAGAACACCGGGGTAGAAGCAGTACTGTGCTGGAATACTCTTCCATCTTCTCACTGTACTCACCGATGAATATGGAGGGCTGTAATCTCGATATTTTCGGTGGCTTTTTTCACTGGGACTGAAATCAGAGTCATCACTGAAATCGGAGAAATCATCGCTTGAAGACGCATGTCGCTGGAATAAAAGGGAAGTATATTTACTGCTTTTGTTGCAGAAGGAATAATCTGACTTTAACAGGTTAGCCTAGGAAAAAACAGCAATGGAATCGTCTCCACACACCTCGACATGTCTGCCTTTATTACATCTGCCCCCTTCTGAAGACGAGTCTTCATGCCCTCTCCTAGATCTCTCAGGGAAGGCTATTAATTCATCTCAGTGCCTCTAGCCTTGCCTCTCCCTACATTCAAGATGACAGCAAACATCTGGTGTGTTCACTGCATGCAAAGCACATTCCTAGACAGTGGAGGACCTAAGGCATGGTCACTGTCCTTTTAGGGCTTATAGCCCAGTAAGGGGACAGGCCCAAACTGTAACTAACGCCACCACATTACAAGGACATTAGGGAGTCCCAAGGCAAAGGGCTACCCCAAGTCTGACAGTTAGGAGGGGTGGAAGATGTGATATTTGAGCTAGCTTTGAAGGTTCTTTTCAAGAGACAAAGGGGGAAAGAAAGAGAGGCTATTGGAGGCACAGTCTTGGTGTGAATCACATGACAGAGCACAGTCCTGCCAGGCTGCAGCCCAGGGGGCTCAAAAGGACAGCTGGCACCAAGTGGGTTTTGAATACTGAACAGAGGAATCTAAATTTGAAACAGCAACAAAGAGCCATTGAAGGGAAGGGAAATAGCCATCTGTGTGTGTAAGAAATATTCTGATATGAGTATGAAAGATGGATGGGTCTGGGGTAAGAACAGAGGCTAGAAAACCTGCCAGGAGACAACCGAACAGCACAGAGGCCATGTCCTAGGATGGCGCCAGGGCAAACAGAACGGAGGGGATACAACGCAAGACATGTGAGTCTCAAGGCATCATCTGCTGCCTAGACACTGAAGGTGAGGGGTGGTAAAGAAGTGAAGAGAACCCTAAGGACACTATTCAATACAACACTGCCACAGTAATTTTTCTAATAGAGTATCCACTACATGGTAGACATTTAATAAATGTGTGCTGACTGACTAACTGATCACATCACTGTGATGTTCAAAAAGTGTCCACGTCTCCCAAACACAACACTGAATAAAACTCTCACTCCCTTCAGCCGACTTCGAAGGGACTGACGGCCAGCTAAACTGCTCTCTCCCATTCATTTCTCCTTCATGTTCCTTAGGTTCTCACACTGAACCACTCACTATCACCTGAACAATTCTGGTTCTTTCCAACACTGGTCCCGGGCACTGATTTCTGGTCTCCTTTAAGACTCAGCTCCAGCGACACACCTCCTCCACGTCATCGGTGACCCAGCCCATGGGATCCAGAAGGAACTCTAGGACTTTGTCCTCTTATCAACTTCTATTCTAGTACATGGTGCCCAGTCTGAACTCTCCCTACAGTGTAAAGGTCTTTTTTTTTTTTAATTTTTAGGCAATGGTAGTTCAGTGACTTGCCCAGGGTCACACAGCTAGTAAGTGTCTGAGGCCACATTTGAACTCAGGTCCTCCTGACTTGAAAGCCAGAGCTCTATGCACTGCGCCACCTAGCTGCCTCCTAGAGGGTAACGGTCTTGAGGGCAGAGACCACAAGTTCTTTACTCCTGGAGCTCAGCACAGCATTGTGCACCCACAGCAACTAAAGCTGAAGTTCCAGAAGGCGGGGCCTCCGGGAGCTACCTTATGCTTGGATTTCCGCTTCTTCTTGGACCGCCTCTTCTCTTTTTCCCGCTCCTTCTTTCTCTTGCGTTTCATCCTGCGGTGAGCCTTCTCCTCGTCCGAATCGCTGTGATGCTTCTCCCCCTTGTCTCGGCGGCTCCTCTCTTGCCCTGCGGGGTAGTCCTGGGCCTCTTCGGCCCCATCATCCTCCAGTTCTCCTTCTTCCAATTCTCCATCTTCCCTGTAAACCAAAGGAAATACATCATGAGTAGGCTTTTCAAGTAACTGGGCTAGGCCAGGCTTCTTTCCAGTTCTGGTTTTGCCTGTTAAAATCTAACAGGAAACAGAGGGGGTCCCTATTATATTCAAAGATACAGGATACCTATCTCTCTCTAGACACAGAGAGAGAGAAATAGAGACAAGAGAGAGAGACAGAGAGATCTAGACAGCAAAGCAGCTAAGAGATAGAGATAAGAGCGTCTCCCTAGGAGGATGTCTGGGATCGAGGGCTGCCCTGCCTCACCACCTCTAAACAAATGGCTTGCCACTTTGGGCACTGTCATTCTGAACGGAAATAGCAACAGGATAATCTAGGTGACCACTAAACTACCCACGATCTTGTACAAATTCACTCTGTAACAAAGCATGGAGGTAGAAAATTGAGAAGAAGAGGCAACAGTGGTGAGGTGCTATAAAATGTCCAGTTATGACCTAGGAAAGATGGAAGATCTGGGGCAGCCTTTGTGCCCCGATCAAATGCCCACATCTACTGCCAGTCTGAAGTCTCTGGGACCACATCAGAACGGGACAGGCTGGAAAAAGAGTCAAGGTGAAAGACACACAATGCCCCACCCTACCCCCTCACCCCCATCTTTTGGCTGGCTGCACAGTGGATAGAGCGGTGGGTCTGGAAGCAGGAAGAGCTGAGTCCAAATTCAGCCACAGACACTTCCTAGCTGTGTGACCCTGGACAAGTCATTTATTCTCTGCTTGCCTCGGTTTCCTGAATTGTAAAATGGGGAAATTAATAAATTAATAGCAACTACTTTTCAGGGTTGTTGTGAGGATCAAATGGGATAACACTTATAAAGTGCTTACACAGTGCCTGGCATACAGTAAGCACTCTATCAATGCTTATTCCCTTCCTCTCTTCACTGCAATTTGTCTGAGCTACCACTTTCTGTGCCCCTCCAAGCTCCTCTCCACCCTCCCAACATCGCATCTTTCCATTTCTATGCTGAACACCCAGCTCTTTCTTACTTTGAAAACTAAAACTGCTCTCCCATAAAATGGTACCTCCAAACAGAAACCTCAAAGAGAGAAAAGAGGAACTGAGGAGGCACAGACCACAGGGAATATTCCTATTTACTCACAGACAACTCACAAACTTAAGAGCTGAAAAAATAAAATGGGCTTCAAAATTCCTTCACCGGGGGCAGTGAGGTGGCACAGTGGATAGAATACCGGCCCTTGAGTCAGGAGGACCTGAGTACAAATACGGCCTCAGACACTTGACACTTACTAGCTGTGTGACCCTGGGCAAGTCACTTAGCCCCATCACCTAGCAAAAACAAACACAAAAAAAAAGAAGAAAAAGAAAAAAATTCCTTCACCATAGTCCCCAGAAACATTTGTTTTCAATTAAGGAATTCCACCAATTCCAATTAATCAGTAAGCCCCTACAAGGAAATGAAACCAGGTTCCTAGGGCTAGCAGGAAAAAATATATGATTCTATCTCAAAGACCTTGTTAGTAGCTTGACTTAAGGTCCAGAAGACCATTTCTACAACTCAGTTTTTCCACCTCTACAATGGGGACAGTATGTCTGAAAAATGTGAAATGAGCAAGCTGATTAAGCAAAAGAAAACCTATAAAGGCCTTTCCTTTCCATGAAAAATAACTGTAACTAAGAGCACTCCCTCATCTACCACTTTCATGTTTGGAATTCTCTTTGTAGGTATTCAGCATCACGCCCCAAAGTATAAAACCTGACTGGATAAAAATTTCTGCTTACCTTTATTCCCAAACCAAAAGCATCAGGGACCCATCTTATAAGCCTCAAACTAGCAGAGCAAACCACACTGGGAGGAGGTTCAGCTCACTGCCGTCCCAAACACAAATGAATCCACTCCAATTTCTAACTAAAAGGCCCCGGCAAGGTAGACTCATGGGGAAGACACGCATTCCAGGTCCAACTTCAGACACCTGAACCAATACGACTATACTCCTACTCTGTAAAATGGAAGCCCATTTTCCTCCTTTTCCTCTTGGCACTTGTCTTAGCCCTCCAGGAGCGGAGGTGGTTAGTTAGAAGCCCTGTGCTCCCCAGAGAGAGCTAAACGGAAACCTAATTGAATCCACCTAAGAAGAACAAATCCCTTTGGGACAAATGTGCACCTCCTCACCAAAGCCGAAGACTCTGCTCAGGTGTCAGGCTTGACAAAGAGAGCACCTGTAACTCTGCATGTGTCATGCACTGATGAGCTATTAAAGGGATTCACAGAGCACATCTAAATCTACACCTGGAAAGCAGCAGGGAGTTCCTTCTGATCACTGAGCCTTAAGAAAGATATTAAGGACCTAGGCAATGATAATTAACTAGAATTCTTAAGGGGGGGGGGGTCAGTAAGAGAAAAAGGCAAATGAAAAGCTAACAAAGACTAGTGAAATATGTAAGGACCAGCTTAGGCAGGATAGACACCATCACTCACCCTGGGGTGGTCCTACTTAAAGGCTGAGATAAGAACTGGAGATGACACCTTAGGGGGGAAACTGAGGAGGGGCTTCCCTGGGGTTACACAGTCAATCCAAAGTAGAGCAGACTAGAATTCAGCGTTCCTGACTCTATCTTGCCATTCCTTTTTCTTAGGTGTGAATTCAGCAATATGTCCTAGAGTACTCTATAAATGAGAAGAAATGGTCAGAGGGAGCCCAACAGCCTTCTAGTCAGGTAGGGAGACTTTCCTCAGCCCTGCCCTGATCACTGGCCTACTGGACTAACATGCTCGAAATTTTCCACCAAATAGACGGTCCTTCACACTCTGAAAACACAATCAGTTCCTTCAGCATTCAGTGTTCCATGAGGTTGTACTTGTACCCCGGGTGGAAAGCCCCAGGACATTCATTAGCCCAAGGTAGGAAGAGCAGGTTCAGAAAAACCTGATGTCAATTCATGGGTGACTGACCCATAATGGTTTATTAGGGAAACCAGGGTGGTGACGCGTCCCTAACCTTCTGTGCCTGAATTCAGGAGCACAGCCCTGCCCCCTCCACCTCTCACTGTAGCCCTCATTAGGAGAACATGGGGTTTGATGGGCCATGGGTCTGAGGCTGCAGAGTAATCCTAATGACCCCACCAGGTTTTCTGAACTAAATTACTCCTGTGGATCACCTCCCAGTTGGCTGCAGGTCAATGGTGAAAGACGTACTATGTGTGGTGTTGAGATGAAAGAGGGGATTCTTAGATGATCAAGTAGCCACTGGAGCCTCCCAACCATTTTCTAAGATTGAACACAACTGATCCCAAAAACAATGGGTGAGGGGGAGGGCACCTCCAAAAAATAAAGGCAGATAGGACAGAATTAAGGAAAATACTTGAAAAAAATTCTCAGTAAGACTCAAAATAATCTCATAGGAAAAACCCGTTCACCTAGACCTATTTAGAGGCTAACCTTACTATCAACTAGTGAACTGACAAGGCATCCACCATTGCTAAAGATTATACTGAAAATATAATGGGGAAACCACTCAGTAATTTCAGCTAGTCAAAGTTATCAAAAGCAAGACACCGTGTCTGCATACTGTATTTATACCTAACTCAAACCAGGCCAGGGGAGTTGGGGAGGGGGAGGGAGCAGGGCTTCAGAAAGAAGGTCCAATAAAAGGTTAACACCTCAAACAGCCAATTCTACCCTTTCCTGCTCCTAAACTCCCATGCAGCGGGGGGCCAAAAGGGGAAGAGAACCAGCATTTATTAAGTACCTACTACATGCCAGGCACTGGGTTAAGTGCCTTACAAATACCTCTTCTCTGAGAAACACAGAGATGGGCTTTTAGAGCCAGAAGTGCCTTCTGACATCATCAAATCTAATGCCCTCACTTTAGAGGCCTACAGCTGGGAAGCGGGCTTGTCAAAAGGCCACAGCTAGGCAGCACCAAGGCCAGGGGGTCACAGGCCTTAAGTCATTTTGTCCAAGCCCTTCACCGTACAGTCATCTGCCAAGGGAGGCCGACGGTGATAAAGGGAGCAGACCGAGATGAGCCTAAGAGCAAACCTGGGTCTCCAAAGCCACAGTTCTACAGCGGGTTAGGACTCAGGGCTTCCTGACTTCCCCTCGGGGGCTCTTTCCATTACTCACTTCTCCCCCAACCCCCTCCCCAAAGCATCCTGCTCAGAGAATTAAGGGACTTGTTTCTGCATCTCCTGAGCAGCAAGCCCATCCCAGAGAATTAACCAAGGGCCAACTGGACAGAGTACAGGAGCAGGGCCACCGCTTCCTGAACTCTGCAAGCAGTCAGGACCCAGGACATTCTTAACAAATACCCACACTCTATCACATGTCACTGGGCTCCCCCTTTAGGAACAAACAAGCTATAGGAGAAAACACCTTCAGCATGTTGCTACCTGTCAGAATCAACAGCCAGGTAGCCTAAGCAAGCCTACTCTGATAACCCCTTGCTCAGAGCTCATTTTTCCAGGAGGAACAAGGCAGTCAAATCCTTTCCAATGATGAAACGTAATGATGAAATTAAAGACATTTCACCATCCTAAGAGCTCTGTTAACAAAATCAACAAGTTGGTATTTCCCCTATTCCTGAGAGGGGATGGGGGGGGGGGTGCGGCGGGAATGACTGTAAAATGGTTAAGAGACAAGCAGTCCAGGCATCTTGAAAAAAAGCAGTCATGGGATAACCAATCTCTGAAAAAGATATAATACTGCTTACAAAAATGAAGTCAAGAAACATGCAAAATCAAATCAAATCCTGTGAAACCAAGGAGGGCACAGATGATTGGAGAGCTCTTTGGGAACAGAAGTATGGCCATTCATGGCAATGGTGGGGGTTACCTGTAGAGCATGAGAGCCACTGACAGAAGGCAGCTAGCTAGCTAGCTAGGCTGTGTGAAGGCCAAGGCTATGGTGATTGGCAGCCCAAACCCTAAACTGGCCACCGGCCCAGGGAAGTTCTCTCAGTGTTCAGTAACTCAGGATATTCAGAATGTATCCCAAGGGTTGAAAGAGG